ACAGTCTTGGGGGCTCTCACAGTGACTGCAGCCTCGGGAAAGACCGTGGCTGGGCATGGAGGGACAGGATTTCTGAACTGCCTCTGACATGTGCTAGTCTCAGTCAGTCTCTCTCTCTCTCTCTCTCTCTCTCTCTCTCTCTCTCTCTCTCTCTGTTTGTCTCCCTCCTTTTCCTCCCTGGGTATTTTATATGAGGGAAATGCTGCCTATAAAACGTGAGTTGGGGACTCCCAGGCGGCCCCGAGGAGTGCATCCAGCCAGTGATTTGGTACCAGGACCCTGTGGCATCCTGAGGTGATCAGGGACATGAGTTGTGCTGGGGATCAGGCTAGGCTTGGCCCTTGTGGGAACTTTAACCCTCCTGGTTATCTCTGGCATCTTGTATGATCCGCTTTTGTGTGTTACCGTGTTTTCATTTGGGGCCATACCAAGCGGTGCTAAGGGCTTCCTTCTGACTCTGCACCTAGGAGTCAGGAAACCCTATGGGATGCTGGAGATTGAACCTGGGTCAGCCACATGTCAGGCAGACTCCCTCCTGCACTCTTGCCCTGGCTCTAGACCCTGCGTTTCTGTGTTCTCTCGTGTTTCTTTTCGGATCATGCCTGGCTCTGGGCTTCCTGTTACCTCTGTCCTCATCCCTGTGGGTGGGGTTCAGAGGTCCTTATGAGAGGGGTTTAACTGGGGTGGCCATACACAGGGCAAGTGCTTTCCTGCCTCGTGCACCTCCCCCTCCCTCCCAGGCTTTTGTTGTTGATTTGGGGTCAAACCTGGTGGTGCACAGGGCTTACTCCACTGGCTCTGTGCTCAGAAATCCCTCCTGGCAGTGCATATGAATGCCAGGCATGGAAACCAGGTGGGCAGCGTGCAAAGTGAGTGCCCTGCCCCTACATTACACTTCTGCTTTTCTGTTTTTTTTTATTTTTTTGGAGGGGGTACCATACCTAATGGTGCTCAAGGATTTCTCCTGACTCTGCTCAGAGATCATCCTGGCTGGCCCCACGGGACCTTATGGGATGCTGGGAATCAAACCCCGGTCAGCGACTGCGAGGCAAATGCCCTGCCTACTGTGCCAGCTCTCAGTCCCCAGACTGTGCTTTGTTGCCTTTAGTATTCTTCCTTCAGGGAGTGCCCGCGGGAGATGCTGGGAAGGTAGAGGGTGCCGTGAGAGAGCCAACCAGGAAAGGTTGCCCACAGCAGAAATGGTGGTTCTGGGGTCTGTCAGGCAGCCTCTCTGCCATGTGGGTCAGCTGGCCCCGCAGGTGCCCCTTAGAGCAAGGCAGTCAACTGAGTGGACAGGAGAGGGCTCAGAAGTGGGGTGCATGCTGCTGCGCCCGACCCCCCCCCCCCCCCCCCATGATGATGTCTGCCTGGCCGTGCTTTCACTGCTCTCATTTCGCTCCATGCTGAGGGTCCAGCACTCACGTGCCCTTCCTGGAGCTGAATCCCAGCCTTGGGTTTATTTTCTTTATTTGGGTTTATTTTAGGTGGGGGGTCAGCTCCAGGGTACTCAGCCAAGCAGGCCAGCAGTTGAATGCTTGGATTGCAGGGTACAATTTTGGGGATTTCCAGAGACCCTCCCCACAAGTGGTGCAGGGCTGGGTCTTGGAGCATTTATTCCCCAGTGCTCTTTTCCTGTCCTCTGACATGACTGGTCAAGTGGTTGTGCAGAAGTACCCCCACAAGACTTGTGTCAGGTGTTTTTTCTACAGTGATGATGGAGTTTAGGTGGGGGAAGACCCCAGAGGGTCAAGTACTGTTGCCACCAACGTTGTTTTCTTTGGATTTTGGACCATACCCACTGCTGCTCATGGGTTACGCCCAGCTCTGTATTCAGGGATCACTCCTGGCGCTGTTTGAGGACAATATGGGATGCTGGGGTGTTGAAACTGGGTTGGCAGGGCATGAGCCCTCCCCGCTGTACTATCTCTGGCCCTGATCTTTAGTTTTGGGGACATACCCAATACTGCTCCAGGGTCACTTCTGGAGGGGCTCAGGAGACTATGTGGTGCCTGGCAACAAATCTGGGTTGGCTCCATGCAAGGCAAATGCCTTCACCTCTGTCTGTCCTGTTTCACGCCCTGGTTTTTCTGGGAGGTGGTGTGCACACCCAGTGTCAGTACTCAGGACTTACTTATGGCTCTGCATGCGGTTCACTCCTGGTGGGCTTTGAGACCATATGGGATGATCAAACCCAGGTCCAGTATATGTAAGGTCCTGGTTTTGTAGTTTTGTTTAACACCCCTTTCTGGTAATGTGTCTGTACATTTTTCCTGACCCAATTCTAGAATCATTTTCCCAAGGAAACCATGATCTTGTCTTGCATGTGGTCAACCCTGGTTTGATCCCCGACATCCCATCTAGTCCCCTAAGCACCACCAGGATTAATTCCTGAGTGCAGAGTCAGGAGTAACCTGAACACCACTGGGACTGGCCTAAAAACACATAGCAAAAACAAAGATTTGGCAGGCATACAGGCAGCCTGGGTTCCCCCCTTCATCCCCGGTTACCCCCAGTACCTCAGCCTGAGACCCTCCCATAGAACTGTGCCCTGGTTGGCTGAGAGTTGTCAAACCATTTTACAAAAGAGAGACATGAGAGGCAGCAGATAGGACAGTGGGGAAGGTGCTTGCTTTGCCCTCATCAGTTCAATTCCCCCACATCTCACGTGACCCCCCCACCTTATACCACTAAGAGTGATCCCTGATCTCACTACTAGGAATAAGACCTGAGCACTGCCAGGTGTGGCCCAGCACACACACACAAAAAAACCGGTAAAGGAAAATAAAAGACAGGATTAATGAAAATGATGGGGAAAGCACATCTTTCTCCCTTTGGGGGGCCAGGGGGGTTTTTGGGTCACACCTGGTGGTGCTCAGGCATTACTCCTGGCTCTTCCCTCAGGAATTGATCCCAGCGTTGCTGTAGGGACCCTCTGGGATGCCAGGGAGCAAACCTAGGTCCGCCACATGCAGGGCAAACTTCCTCCCCGTCGTACTATCAGCCCAGTTTTCTCCATTTTGTTTTGTGCAATGCGGGGAAACTAACCTGGATTGGCAGCGTGCCAGGCAGGGTCCTTCCCCACCATCCTGTCTCTCCAACCCTTATTTGACGTTTTTTGAAGCATTCACCCGTTTCACCTGTGTTGTTTTGACTTCGAGTTAAGGTGGGGGCTGGGCTCAGTCTATGCACTGCGGTGCTTTTGGGGATCACTGGTGGCGGTGTTCAGGGGTTCAGCTGTGTACAGAGCAAATGTGGTTTGGCTGTGTTGGTGGCTTGGGCCTCAGACTAGGGCCAGTGCAGAAGGCTCGCCCACCGATGCATGGGGCCTGCCAGGGTCCCCACGGTGATAACACAAACTGAGTATGCAACTGAGTCCTTGTTTGATGGGGGGTCTTCTGTGCTGTATCAGGTCAGTGGGAGCTGTCTCTTTCTTGCATCAACTGGTACCCACCTGGGGGCCTGTGGTAGTGTTTCTTTTTCCAGCTCAAGCTGCGTCAGAAGGGTCGGGCCTGAGTGCCCTAAGCAAAAGCAAGGCGTTGGGGCTGGGTGATAGTGCAGTGGGGAGGGCACTTGCCTTGCACACTGCCGACTTAGGGTCGATCCTGTATCCCATAGAGTCCCCCGAGGCATGCCAGATGTTACCAAAACCACACAAAAACCCAACCAAGGAACGTGGCATTTAATCCAAGTGCTTTAGTTTAGTTCAGCTGGGTGTGCCCCACTGGCCCCCCAGGTATGTTGAGCTCAGTTTTCTGGCACTTGAGTTGGTGTGGGTTGTTTGTGTTTTTGTTTTTATTTTGATCTTTGGACCACACTTTGTCCTGTGAGATGTTGATAGATCTTGGGGCTCTTGCAGGACCAGTGATGGGCCCCTGTACCCCCAGATAGATGTAGCTCATTGACTGGTCCGCTTTCTCATTCTCCCTTCCTGACGAGCCTGGGCTGGTGATTTTCAGTATCATCCTCCTGTGCCCAACATTGAGTACCTCAGTATCCCAAACAAAAAGAACCAAACAAGAATGAAGGTCATTGGTGTCAAACATGTGCTCCTGTTTTATGGGGCGACCCAAAAAGGTATCCCCCCAATTATTTTTTTATTATTATTTTTTGCTTTTTTTGGGTCACACCCAGCGATACACAGAGGTTACTTCTGGCTCTTCACTCAGGAGTTACTCCTGGCGGTGCTCGTGGGACCATATGGGATGCTGGGAATTGAACCTGAGTCAGCCGCATGCAAGGCAAATGCCCTACCCGCTGTGCTATCACTCCAGCCCCTATTTTTTTTTTTTTAAGTCTGTGGGCCACACCTGGTGGTGCCTAAGGCTGAATCCTGACAGTGTTCTCAGGGATTACCCCTGACCAGATAGAGGGGCACCCATAGGGGTGCTTGGGATTGAATATGGGTCAAACATGTGCCAAGTCAGAATATTCTGTTGCCCTGTCTCTCCAGCCATGTTTTCAGAAATCATGGTTCAACGCCAGGGTCCAGATGCTCAGTGCTCTTTGACCCAGTGCAGGTTCTGCAGTGAGTCTGATGGACCATCTCAGATTGTGCCTGACTGTGGGAGTCTGTTTCTGACAGACTGGGCACTGGACTGGGCTTTTGATCCCATCTTGCTGCTTCACAGACACAGCACGGGGTTGGACGTTAGGTTTGACCAAATGGCGTTCCCTTTGGAGGCTGTTACTTTGGGCATCTTATCTGGACATTTTCTTGACATTCAGCCGTTTTTGTGTGGGGCAGATCCAGGGATAGAATACCAGGTTCGGTGTGGGAGGCGGGTAGAGTATCTTAGCCATCTTCTCTCTCTGGCCTGGCTCCCTTCATAGAGACTTCTTTGGGGCTGGGGGGCACATCCAACGGTCCTCAGGGCTCAATCCTTGACTTTGCATTCTGGAACAAGTCCTGGTAAGGGGGTTCAGAGGACTCATGGGGTCCTGGGCCTTTTGGTGGACATGGAACGGGAGGTGGTAGATTTCATCTCTCTCTTTCTCTCTAGATCATGGAAGGAAAGAAACTTCTGTGCTTGCTGCTTGTCCTGGGAACAGCTGTCACTCAGGCCCATGATGGCCATGATGATGACATGATCGACATCGAGGATGACCTGGATGATGTCATCGAGGAGGTGGAGGATGGCCCGTCGAAAGCAGACACTACTGGGGCCAGCGCTTCCCCCAAGGTCTGATGTGTCTTGGTAACTTCACGACCCACAGCAGCAGTGGCCACTGGAATTTCTTGAAAGCCACGTTTGCAGAAATTACCTTCTAGGGGAACGTTGTGGGGGTGGGGGCGAACCGACAAGTCTCTAATGGTGATTCTGGGCCACCCTTCCTTGACATGGTTCCACGCCACGGTCCAAGGATGTGGTATTGCTGGGTCTGCGAGACCTTGGGTTGCACCAGCAATGCTGGGGTGCCATGCACTGTAGCCCCTGCTCTGTCTCCAGGGCTTCCTGAAACCGTGGCCTGCGTTCTGTATGAGGGGACTAGACTTGGCAGTGTCATTTGGAATAGCCCCTGGGGAAGAAAGGTTAAGTCGTTGTTGACTGTTCCTGCTTTGTTCTCCCTTGGACCCCAGGTCACCTACAAAGCCCCAATCCCAACGGGGGATGTGTTCTTCGCGGATTCTTTTGACCGAGGGACTCTGGCGGGGTAAGTGTTTTGAGGAAGGGATGGGTGAGAGGGTGGGGGACAATCGGAACAGTGATTCAAGGTGGGTAGCGCCTTGGATTTCTTTTTGGAGAGCGTTTTTAGAGTGAAAGAAATAACTCTTTTGGACTATATTTATCTCTTTCCCCCCGGATTTTTGGGTCACCTGGCGATGGTCAGGGGTTGTTTTTGGCTCTGGACTCAATTATTCCTGGCAGTACTCGGGGGGACCATATGGAGATGCTGGGGATTGAACCCAGATCAGCCGTGTGCAAGGCAAATGCTGTACCTGCTGTACTTTTGTTTGGGCATCTATTTTTATCTTTTTAAAGTTTTGCACGTTTATTTATTCCTGGTTTGGGGGCCACACCTGGTGATGCTCAGGCCTTACTCCTGGTGGGCTTGGGGGAGTAGAAGTGGTGCTGGGATTGAACCTGGGTTGGTCTCGTGCAAGGCAAGTGCCTTATCCTCTCTCCCGTTGCCCCAGCCCCCTTTTTGACTTTTTCAAAGATGCCGGGTTTTTCCTACAGTTTGGGACCACACCTGGAGGTACTGGGGAGCTCTTCCTGGCCTTGGCTCTGCCGTTGGGGGTCACTCCTACTGGGGTTCGGGAACCCTATGGGAGTGCCAGGGATTGAACCGGGGTTGGTGGGATGCCCAGCCAACACCTTCTGGTCCCTGAATCTTGCTGGGCCTCTGTGGCCTGTGTAAAAGTTGAAAGTAGAGCTTCGAGTCAGCCTTAGGGAGGGAAGGGTCCTACCCAGCAACAAAGGCCTTTGACCCCCTCATTGGAGCATTTGTCTGACTTACAGGTGGGTCTTGTCCAAAGCAAAGAAAGACGACACTGATGATGAGATTTCCAAATATGATGGTGAGTGGGGACTGGCGTTCCTCGAGCCCCTGAGCTGCCTCCAGGGTTGGGCTGCTTGGAGCCTGGCTTCCAAGGAGTATGAATTTTTTTTCCCCCAATTTTCCTGGGCTACCTGTTCTATGACTCTGTTTTGTAATTCAGACCTGTGGGAAGATCATTTATCACATTAGTTGCTGTTCTGTGGGGGTGACAGGGCTTCCTTAGGCCCTGGCAGAAATCAGAAGTCCTGATATTTGCCCAGTGCCTGTGTTTGAAGTTTCTGATAGTAACTGTTTTGGGGCCCACCTGGTAGTGCACAGGGTTTCCTCCTGGCACTGCTCGCTGGTGTGCCCCCCGTGTGCTATGGGGCTGTTTCTGGCTCTGTGCTTTGGAAAATACTCTCTTGGGGGCTGAAGGGGACAGAGATTATGTCCAGGAATGGACCCAGGCTTTAACATGTGAAATGCGAACCCTGGAACGCCTGTCGTCGCTCCAGCCCCGCCCAGGTGCAGAGACAGAGAAACAGAGGGGAAGAGAACGAGAACTCTTCTCTGCTCGCCGTACGACAGGGAACATGCCACGGTTCCCTTCCTGACTTTTTCCAAGGGTGCCCCTCCAGCTAGGGTCCCACTGGCAAGGACAGTGCGAGGGGCAGTGGGGGTGCCCTGCCATGGCCTAGCCCCAGGGCCCCACTGAGGCGATGTTCTTGTGGCTCTCCAGGGAAGTGGGAGGTGGAGGAGATGAAGGAGTCAAGGCTGCCAGGCGATAAGGGGTTGGTGCTGCTGTCGCGGGCCAAGCACCATGCCATCTCTGCCAAGCTGAGTAAGCCCTTCCTGTTTGACACCAAGCCACTGATTGTGCAGTAAGTGACAACTGGGCGTTTGGAGGTCAGGGAGGTATGGGGGGCCCTGAATGTGTGTTGGTTTGTGTCTTCCTGCCTGCCCCACTCCTGGCAGGACTTGGGGACCCTTATAGGGTGCTGGGGATTAAACCCGGGTCAGCTGCATGCAAGACAAGTTCCCTAACTGCTGTTCTATGTTCCAGCACCTGCCTGTTATTAAATGAATAGGCTGTTCCTCTTCCTTTTGCCGTTTGGGATATTCGCTTTAGGGCTATACCCTCCAATGCTCTGGGCTTCCTCCTGGCTCTGCCCTCCAGGATCACTGTGACGGGGCTCAGGTCAGCTTTGTGCAGGGCAAATGCTGCCCCTGTACTATCGCTCTGGCCCTGTTCTTCCTCTGTAGTAGCAGTGAGCTTGTAGCTCTATTTTTACAGGGGAGGTTTTTCTAGGGTTGCCACACTTAAGGTGTGGTTCCTGGTTCTGTGTTCAGGGATCACTCCTGACAATGCTCAGGGAACCATATTAAGAGCCAGATAATGGTGTCGGTGAAGGTCTGCACCGTGCAAGGCTGGCACCCCACATCTTACTGGCCCCAAATGTGGGGGAGGATTTTTTTTACAAAAGCTTCTCTGAGCTTTTCTTGCATTTTGTGGCATGCTAAAGCAGTAAGTGGACACTTTGTCTTTTGGGTACTAGAGGTGTTGGGAGTTTCTCCTGGCTCTGGGCTCAGGTCACTCCTGGCAGTGCCAGGGATGAAACCGAGCCTGGTCCACGCAGAGGAGCCCTTCCTGCCTGTGTCTTGTCTGCAGCCTGAGCTGTCACCCTGTGAGCCTTGCTCTTGGCTTTCCCAGCACCCTGGTGGACTTTGGCTTTTCTCTGCCCTCAGGTATGAGGTGAATTTCCAGAACGGTATCGAATGTGGTGGAGCCTATGTCAAGCTGCTCTCCAAGACCCCCGAGCTCAGCCTGGTATGTGCCACCCTTTCCTGCCAGTTCCCACGCACAACTGCCGGGGACAAAGCAGGTCCCCACGGCTGACTCCCTGCTTGTTTGGCTTTTCCTTGGTTTCTGTCTTTGGGGGCCACACATACACGTAGTCTAGGCCTTCGTTTTTGTCTTTGTCCATCCCCCCCCACACACACACACATGACTCACATGCACCCCTAGCTGTACTCACGGCGCACTCCTGGGTCTGCTCTGGGCTGACTCTTGGCTATGAGCATCACTGGGTATGGCTCAAGGGGAAAAAGGAAATGAATTTCAAGCTCTTCTGGGTTTTCCCGCGCTGCAGGCATCTCTGTGTAACTTGGGTATTTTTTTCAGATTCCTCGTCCGCTGCAGCCCCTCTGTTCTTTGCTTGTTTGTCGTGAGCTATGCTCACACCTGACTCTGAGCTCCAAGATCAGCCCTGCAGGTTTCGAGCCCGGGATGGAGCCTTACCCTTGTGCTATGACTTGGGGCCGCCTGCTCTGGTTTTGATGTCTGCCGTGCCTCACCTTACCGAAATGCCAAGTTTCCTTTCTGCAGTCTACTGTCTCTCCCTGGCCCCTCACCCTCATCCTGTTCCAGTTCTGGTGCCCAGGGTCTGTCAAAAATCACCTAACTGTTCCCGTCTTTTGTTTCTGGGCATACCTGACGCTTGTTGCCATCCTCATGCCTTTCTCCCCCCAGCCGCCTTCCTTCACTTGGCATGATGTGCTCAGGTGCCCGCTGAGTTGCAGTGAGCTGGCATTGAGTTCTTTTTTCTGGTAGGATGGTATTTCCCCGCCTGTCCAGATCTCAGCGTCTCCATCCCTCTCTTCCTGCACACTGAACCCTTCTGGGTGCAACGTCTGTATGACTTTGAGTAAACTCATTTCTTGGATTTATAGAACTTAACACCAGCCAGAGCAGTGCATTTCTTTTTAAATTATTTTTGCCTTCCCCTGGCTGCATTTTGCTATATTCCCCTTAAAGTTTTTCATTTTCTCCCTTTTTTCGGCCACATCTGGTGGTGCTCAGGGATTATTTCTGGCTCTTTGCTCAGGGATCACTCCTGGTGGGTTCGGGGGATCATATGGAGTGCCGGGGATGTAACCTGGGCCCGCAGCATGCAAAGCCCAACCTGTCGTACTATCCCTCCAGCCTCCCCCACTTAGGATTTCTTGATCCCTTCTGGTTACCCCTTGCAGTGAGAACTCGGCAAACCTAAACCTCAGCCCCATATGCAGGCCCCATTCACCTGCATATCGCACTGATTTGGGGGTCAGGGGTGGGGTGGGAACTATGGGAGAAGAAATTGGCTTTTGGACTCTGGCTGAAATTCTGTGATTTGAGCCATTTTGGTTTCTGCAGGATCATTTCCACGACAAGACACCCTACACGATCATGTTCGGGCCGGATAAATGTGGCGAGGACTACAAGCTCCACTTCATTTTCCGCCACAAGAACCCCAAAACGGGGGTGTATGAAGAGAAGCACGCCAAGAGGCCTGACGCGGATCTGAAGACATACTTCACCGACAAGAAGACCCACCTGTACACACTGAGTGAGCCTGGGCATGCACTGGGTGCTGGTTGCGGGGTGTTCTTGGTGCGCCACTCCCCCCCCCCCCCCCCCCCCCCCGCACACTCTCAGGGCACTCAGAGTCTCCATTGGTATGGTTTTGGGGCCACACTGTTAGGGCATGCCTCTGATTCTTGACTCTGCGTTTAAGGGTCACACTGGCAGCACTCAGGGAAATAGTTTGAAGCCCGAGATTAAACCCGGGTTGTCTACACTTAATACCATTTCTCTAGCCTACTACAGATTTTTTGTTGTTCATGTTGCTTTTGGTTGTTTTGGTTTTTGTTCTTGGGCTCTGAGCTCCGGGATCAGTCCCAGTACTCAGGGATTATATCCAGCAAGGGATCAAACTGGTTTAGCCACCACATGCGAGGATTTTTTTTTTTTGGTTTTGGGGCCACATCTGATGGTTGTCAGGTCTTATTTCTGCCTCTGAGCTCAGGAATACCCTCCTAGTGGTCTCTGGTCACCATATGGGATGCCTGGGTTGGACTTATCAAGGCAAGCGCCCTAACCATTATTGTCTCTGTATCTCTGTACGGCCCCTTGGCCACTGATTTTTATTTCATTTAAATTTTTTTTTGCTTTTTGGGTCACAGCCAGCGATGCTCAGGCATTACTCTTGGCTCTGCACTCAGGAATCACCCCTGGTGATGCTTGAGAGACTCTATGGGCTACCAGGGATCCACTGTGGTCAGCCATCTGCAAGGCAAACACCCACCCTACTGGACTATTGCTCCAACACTGGCCACAGACTTTTAAGTGCAGTTGAGTGGTGGCATGTGGGCAGTCTCTTCTCAGTTTCCAAAAGGTCTGAAGTGGAGTGGTACCCATTTTTTGGTTATAACGCAGAAGTGTCATAGAAAAACCCCAGCTCCCCTACTGATGTGGGGCCACACCTAGTCATGCTCAGGGCTGGCTCCTGGCTTTGTGCGCCAGGGTCTACTAGAGGCACCAGGTGTTTTTTGTTTTTTTTTTTTCTTTTTGAGTCACACCCGGCAATGCACAGGGGTTACTCCTGGCTCTGCACTCAAGAATTACTCCTGGCGGTGCTCAGGGGACCATATGGGATGCTGGGGATCGAACCCGGGTCAGCCGCGTGCAAGGCAAATGCCCTCCCCGCTGTGCTATCGCTCCAGCCCCAAGGCACCAGGTTTTTTGTTTATTTGTTGTTGCTTTTGTTTTAATATTTACAATTGTTTATTGATTCACAGTGATGGACACATTTACAAATGTTGTTCATGATTGGCCTTCAGTCACATAATGCGTCAACGCCTCCAGTGTACTTTTCTCACCACCAAAGGTCCTGGTTCTGTCCACTCACTTGCTGCTATGGCAGGCACCCTCCCTCCCTTCCTCCCTCCCTCCCTCCCTCCCTCTCTCCCTCCCTCCATCCCTCCATCCCACCCACCTAGAGATGCTTAGGGGTCCCTCCTGGCTCTGCACTTAGGAATTACTCCTGGCGGTGCTTGGGGGACCATAGTGAGTGCTGGGGATTGAACTCGGGTTGACTGCGTGCAAGGCAAACGCTCTACCTGCTGTACTATCACTCTGGCCCCAGCAGATACTTTCCTTCCCTCTCTCTCCCTCCCTTTCCTCTCCCCCACCTTTTGGGCCTTATAGTTTGCAGTACAGATAATGAAAGGTCATCCGGTGTATCCACATTCCCACAGCAGTGAGGAAAAATCCCTTTCTCCTCTCATCTGTGCCAGCACTGGTCCACTTGTTTTTTTTGTGTGTGTGTGTGTGTGTGTGTGTGTGTGTGTGTGTGTGTGTGGCACCAGTCTATGCAAAGCCTGTGCCTTCACTCCATCTGCTGTCTCTTCAGCCCCCATGTGAACCTTTTTCTGGTTTATTTTGGTTTGGGCTCTGCCTGGTGGTGCTCAGGACTGTTTGCGCTCAGGGATTACTCCTGGCAGGGCTCAAGACTCGGGGGTGCCGTGCATTTGCTGTACTCCTGCTCTTGCTGCAGCTCCCCCCGCCCCCCACCTGGACCCATTCTTAATGATGGCTGGTCCTTCTTACAGTCCTGAACCCAGACAACAGCTTTGAGATTCTAGTGGACCAGACCGTGGTCAACAGCGGGAACCTCCTCAATGACATGACCCCGCCCGTCAACCCATCCCGGGAAATTGAGGACCCAGACGACCGGAAGCCAGAGGACTGGGATGAACGACCCAAAATCCCTGATCCTGATGCTGTCAAACCGGACGACTGGTGAGCCCAAAACCTGGAATGTGTCCGCTTGTCTGACTCAGAGTAACAGCACTTCTGGGGTGACCGGGATTGTTATCCTCAGTCACCAGCTGCTCAGGGTGCTGGGAATTGAACCTGGGTTGCCCTTTGCCCCAGGTTCAGCAGCTCTGGGGGCCGCTCCTTGTGGGGGGCAGAACAGTCCCAGGCACCAGCGCCTGTGGGTGCGGGAGTGGATTGAGGATTGAAACCCAGCTTGGACGTGGACTCAGGGAAGCCACGTGAACAGAGAAAACAGCTCAGATTCATCTCCCATGAGACGCTTCTATTCTTGTGCTTCCCCCCAGCCTCCTCCCCTGCCCCCCAAACTCTCGGGACACTGGTGCCTGGGATCACGCAGACTCTTGTGCATGTCAGACCTGTAGCCTGATGCCAGTCCCCATAACTCAGCACATTCCTGGCACCTCTAGTCTCTGAAGGCCCCTGAGGCTCTGAGGCACGCCGTCAGCTGGGCGCTCACAGGCTTCTCATCTGTGTTGAAGGGACGAAGAGGCCCCTGCCAAGATTCCCGATGAGGAGGCCACGAAGCCCGAGGGTTGGTTGGATGATGAACCCGAGTATGTAGCCGACCCGGATGCAGAGAAGCCGGAAGACTGGTGAGCGCCCCTTGGTGGTTGCCCTGTGTTTCCTGCCTGTGTCCCCTGGTTCCCTCATACCTTAAGTCCCTTTCTCCTCTCTCTTCCCTTTTCCTCTCCTCTTCCCTGCCCTCTCTCTCTTTTTTCCATTTTTTTTTTTATGTTACTGGGCTATATCCAGCAGTGCTCAGGGTTGACTCTTGGCTCTGCCCTCAAGGATCACTTCTGGTGAGCTTGGAAGGACTCTATGGGATGCTAGGGATAGGCACCCTTTCCCCTGTACTACTGCTCCTCCCCTTTTTTCTCTTTGTTCTTTGTCTCTCTTTGTCCCATGTCTCTCCCTCTTCTACCTCTTTCCTTTCTCATTCTCACCCTCATTTCCAGTACCTCTCTCTTATTTCCTCCTTTTTTCTCTCTCTCCCTCTTTCCTGCTCTCTCTCCCCTCTCTCCCGCTCCCCTTGCCCCTCTCTTTCCCCGTCCCTCCCTCCTCCCCTCTCCCCATCTGTTGTGAGATGAGAAAGCTTACTTCTGGTGCACCCTAACCCTGGGTCACTGTGACCTCTCTCCGCCCAGGGATGAAGATATGGATGGTGAGTGGGAGGCCCCGCAGATCGCCAACCCCAAGTGCGAGGCGGCCCCTGGCTGTGGCGTCTGGCAGCGGCCCATGATCGACAACCCCAGCTACAAGGGCAAGTGGAAGCCGCCCATGATCGACAACCCCAGCTACCAGGTGGACAGCCAGCCCCCCCCCCCTTTTTTTTTTTTTTAATTTTAAGTCCAGTTGGTGAATATTTTTGTTTCGGTTCTGCCCACCCCCTGCCCCCTGCATGCTCCGGGTTCCCGTGGGCTCTAGGAAACCTACTGAATGCCAGGGATCAAACCTGGGTTGTCCACAAATAACTGACCTGCTGTTCTGTCTCCCCAGCCCCCAGTCCATGCACCCTTCTTAAATAGCTGGGGAGTGGGGGACGGAGGGTGTGGGTACAGCTAGAGCAGATGTCATGAGAAACTACTCCCGCAACTCAGTGAGAATGTGTGTGTGTGTGTGTATGCATATGCATGTGTGTACACGCATGTGCACATATACGTGGTGAATGTCTAGAAAAAAGAAATGCAAAATGCAGAACCAGGGGCTGGAGCAATAGCACAGCGGGTAGGGCTTTTTTGCCTTGCACATGGCTGACACAGGTTTCATTCCCAGCATGCCATATGGTCCCCGAGTACCGCCAGGAGTAATTCCTGAGTGCATGAGCCAGGAGGAACCCCTTGGGCATCACCGGGTGTGACCAAAAAAGCAAAAAGCAAAAAAAAAAAAAAAAGGCAGAACCAGTTCTTGACCCCTGCTCACTCACTGGTGCGGCGTGCGGGCTGGTTGGCATCTTCCCAGCTGGTCTCAGCTCTAGAGGCCTGTTCAGGTGTGGCTGGGGGCCACACCCGATGGGGGTCAGAGAAGTTTCCTGGCTGGGCTCAGGGGAACTCTCCTGAGCTTCAGAGATCAGGGACTGGTCAGCTGTGTGCCAGGCCAGCGTTTCCCTGCGCTGGCCCCTTTCATCGGGGGTTCAAAGTATGGGCTGCACTCTGGCCTCCAGCAGCTATCGCTTCCTGCTCCTCTCTTCTAGGGCATCTGGAAGCCCCGTAAAATCCCCAACCCCGATTTCTTCGAGGACCTGGAGCCTTTCAAAATGACCCCCTTCAGTGCCATTGGCCTGGAGCTGTGGTCCATGAGCTCCGACATCTTCTTCGACAACTTCATCATCTCTGCCGACCGCCGCGTGGTGGATGACTGGGCCAACGATGGCTGGGGCCTGAAGCGGGCTGCTGACGGCGCTGCTGAGGTTGGTAGCTGCTGAGCGATTGACCAGCAGGGATGGACAGACGGACGGACAGACACACACACACCAGGACAGGGCTACGGCCCTAGCTGGTCTCAGGACCTGGAAACCATTGCCGTGCCTTCTTTTGCAGCCCGGAGTTGTGGGGCAGATGATCGAGGCCGCCGAGGAGCGGCCGTGGCTCTGGGTGGTTTACATCCTGACCGTGGCGCTGCCCGTCTTCCTGCTCGTCCTCTTCTGCTGCTCCGGAAAGGTGGGTCTTGCAGAGGGAAGGAAGGCCTGGATGATTCAGAACGCGCTCTACTCTGCCATGTGAGGGCGCTGTCTCCCTCTGTTCCCTCTCTCCCTCCTTCCTTCCCTTCCATCTATTCTTCCCTTCTCTTCCCTCCTCTTCCATTCTTCACTTCCTTTTTTTCCCTTCCCCTTTCTTCCTATCTTATTTCTCTTATTTTTGGACTCTCAGTGATGTTCAGGGCTCAGTTCTGGCTCTGTTGCTCAAGGATCATGGGATGACTCTTGGTGGGGCTTGGGGGACTCTTGTGCCCGGCATCAGACCCGTGTTGGTGTGTCCCTGCTGTACCTACCCCTCAGGAAACTCTCCCTCGCTCCTCCTCTTCCCTGTGCCCCTCCTCTCCTTCTCTTTCTTCCCTTTGTTTATTTTGGACCACATCCAGCTCTCAGCACTCACTGGGGTCTGTGGTTAGGCATTGCCTGGCACTCCATAGAGGCCACACTGGGTTCCGGGGAGCCGACCGAGGCCGCTGCATGCAGTTGTGCACCCCTGAGCCTCCTCAGCACGAGGCCACGGGCAGCAGTCATTGCTGTGAAGCCTGGCACCTGTCGCTGTCGTCCAGTCCCAGTCCCTGAGTCACAGAGCGGCCCTGGGCCTCCATCGTGTGTGCTGCCCACTTGCCCAGAAAGCAAACCAACCCTCCAACAGCACGAGTTGCTTCCCGTGTTGGGGTGGCCAGCTGGGTGGGAGCAGCTGTCTCCCCACAGCTGTTTCTGTCCTCGCGCCTCAGGATTTGTCTCCGGTTTCTCAGCCCCGCCACCCCCACCCCAAAATCCCTGGTGTCAGGAGGTAGCCTCATCTGAGTTCAGGAATGGCCCTGTCACCAGCTGCAGAACTTAGAGACACTGGCTTGGGGTGATGCTGGTTCACCAGGAGGACTCCATTTCCTCACAGTCAGGGGCCTTGGCTACTGAGCTGACTTCCACTCTAGTTTTCAGATCCCTGGTCCTTGGGGGCAGAGCTTGGTCTCGGGGTCTTATCTGTGCTGCTTGTTCTTTCCTGGGTGTCAGGACCAGCATGAGGTCCAGGGGTGACACAGGTCCCTTGCAGGGGATCCTGACTGTGGCTCTGCGGGGGGGAACCTTTCAGAAACAGCCGGGGCCTGCCGAGTACAAGAAGACCGACACTCCCCAGCCAGATGTGAAGGAGGAGGAGGAAAAGGAGGAAGAGAAGGACAAGGGGGGCGAGGAGGAGGACGGGGAAGAGAACCTTGGTAAGAAGGCGGCATGCACCCCAATACCTGCTTTACTCCAAGGCCCAGGGCTCACCCACACTTTCGGGGGCAAGTTCCCATAGAGCTGTTGCAGCCATATCTGTGTTGCTGATCTTGGCTCCAGCTCAGGCTTGGGGCAGGTAGTTGTGCAAGGCTTATGCTAAGGGAGTGTTTGTTTTACCTGAAAGTAAAGCACATGGGTACAAGGTGGGGGCAGAGGAGTCAGCTGACGAGTTGGCCTTTGGGGTGCTGTCAGATGCTGTCCTCTGGTGCCCGGGAGGGATGGGCAAGGGCTCAGTCACACGGCTTCTGTTCTAGAAGAGAAGCAGGACAGTGAAGCTGAGGAAGACGGTGGCTCTGCCAGTCAAGAAGAGGCAGACCGGAAGCCTAAAGCAGAGGTAATGGGGGGCTGGAAGGAGTCCCCCTGACTTGTGTCTTTCTTGTGAAAGCCCCTGTCAGCATTTAATTTTTCAGGTGATGAGGGGTACAGGGGGCACTCCTGGCTCTATGTTCCAGGGCTCACCTCTAGCTGTGCCCCATGACTCTGACTCTGTTCAGGGACCACTCCTCGTGGGCTCTGGACCCAGAGCCTCGTCTGCTAGGCTTAAACGGCCGCAGTTGTCCCAAGGTGCCACCAGGCCCCACACCCATGACAGGCCTGACCCTGTTCTGTGTGCTGGAGGACCAGTGGGTAGTTCCTTGATCCCCTAAACTCACTGGCCCAACCTGCCCGCATAGTCTATGCCTGGGAGTCCTCTATTCACAGGCCCTCGACTCATGGCAACACCCTAAATTCTGCCTCCCATCCAGTCTGAAACAATTGTGTGTTTGGTTTTGTTTTTTGTTTTGTTTTGTTTTGTTTTTCTTTTTGGGTCATGCCCAGCAATGCTCAGGGTTTACTCCTGGCTCATGCACTCAGGAATCACTCCTGGTGGTGCTCAGGGGACCATATGGGCTGCCGGAGATCGAACCCGGGTCGGCCGTGTGCAAGGCAAACGCCCTCCCTGCTGTACTATCACTCAAGCCCCTGAAATTATTGTGTTTTGCTGCCTTAAATTGACTTCCCAGCACCCAGCAGACAGATTGCTGCATGGGCCTGGGTTTTGTTTTTTTGGCAGGGGGATGGGAGTTGGGGACCACACAAAGTGGCCATCCTCCTGGTGCTCAGGGGCAGAGTTTGGGCTATCCTCTGGGGTTTCAGGGATCAAGCCTGGGTTTGGTGTATGCAGGGCAAGTGCCCTACCTGTTATACTCTAGCTATACCCGGCCCCTGGGTGATACATTAAGGATGAAAGGAGGCACCACCCCCTAGGGCCCCTTCACTGGGAGCTCGCCCTAAACCCCACAAGTGGACCGATTTGGGTGAATGCAACGCCTTTTCTCTCCCCCATCCCGTGCGCAGGAAGATGAAGTCTTGAACAGGTCGCCCCGGAACAGAAAGCCCCGACGAGAGTGAGCTGGCCTACAGGACTCGCTGGGAGATCCTCGCCCACCCCTTTCTCCCCCCTCTTGCAAGCGTGACCCGCAGAGGGGATCCGGCCCGTGATCGATCGGTTGACAACCCCCCCTCCCGTCGCCATCGCACCACTGCCCCCCACCCTCTGGGCTCCAGCCGACAGCGCCCTGCGCCCCAGCCTCCCACAGCCACACCTCGCTGTGGGGGCTGCCCCGTGGCCTTAGGGAGCGTGGGGCGTGGTGGCTTGCGGGCGCCACGCGGAGCCACCTTCCCCACACCCGTTGGCTCTCCACTTCCTAACATGTTTCATGTTTTCTTAGTTTCCTTTTTATTTTCCTTTCTTTTTTTCTTTCTTTTTTTGGAAGCAGTGCTTAGAGAACTTGGCCCTTGAAACAGAAATCTCTGCGAATTTAATATATTAATCAATCCACGCAGGAGTTAACACCACCTTTTAGAACTGCAGTTTTTTCTAACCCATTCTGGTGGGGGGTTGGGTGGGCTGGGTGGGTTGGTTGACTTGAGATGGGGCGATTTTTTGTTTTCTTTTGGGCAGGGAGTTATGTTGGCAATTAGTTCAAAGCCAGTTGCGCATCCCCTGAAAACTGGATAATCATGTCCCACGGACCCGGGTTTTGTGGCCCTTTCAGCCTGTGGCACTTGCCCACTCCTCATCACCGCCTCTGGGAAATCCGCCATGGGCCCGACTCTCTGGCAAAATTTGGGTGAATGAACTTCTTTCCCAAATTGATTTCCTCCCCCAAAAAAGTAGGGGGAGGGGAGGGAAAAATAGCTCCAGCCAATGCCGGGGGTGGGGGTGGGACCCTTTCTGGAGCCACACCTGGCTCTGCTTCAGATGGGGTGGGCTGCCTGCTGCCGGGTTTGTCTACCCCCTGGGGGCTGCTCCCAGCTGCATTTGGGCCTCCCTAATCGCCCCTTGGTGCCTGGGCCCCCACCATGCACCGTCACAGCGCAGCTTGACTCTGTGGCCGAGACCTGCTCACACACACCCCTCCGAGTGTTGGGCTCCATCTCGCCCATCAATTTTCTCTTTGTTAGCTTTTTGTTGTTGTTGTTTTTCCATTGCAGTCAGCTTGTCTCCTGCCCAACTCATTGTTGAAGGGCAGAGTCTTCGGCTCTGCCTGTTCCACACTCGTCTCTCTCCCCGGGCCCAGACCCACGGACCGGCCAGGTCCACTGGTGTGTGTCTGCATCTCTGCGGCGGGAGTCGGCCAGCACGCGTGCGCGGCAGGCTGGGGGGGCGGGGTAGCTGCTCAACCTGGCTGGATCCGCCACATGAGCCCGCTGGAAGTTGCCTGCCACGCAGAAGCAGCCCTGTTCCGGAACAGTGTGGGATGGTTTGCGTTTGGATTCATTTTACTATGTTAATTATTTTTTAATTTTAAAGTGATTTGAGAGGTTTTTTGCTGGTGTGTGCTGCTGCGCCCCCCACCCCCACATACCATGTGTCATACAGAGGGTGCTACGGCGCTGAAGTGTAATACGGCTTGATCCTCGCGCATGGACAAGGACGCACTGAGGCAGCCTGTTGGCCTCCGCCTCTTGGCCAGGCAGTGTTCCCCAGGACCCAATGAGAACTGTTTTTGCACTGACTACAGAAACACTCCCCGTGGGGGGGGTGCGGTGGGGGTAGGAGCAGGGGAGGAATGGGTCACACACAAGGCTGCACCAGCTTCTGTTTGGTTTTCTCTGGGAGTTTTTACTGGCTCTTAGAAATCCTAGTTGTGGGGTTTTTGTTGGGGGTTTGTTTTATTTTTTTTTTGTGGGGGTGGGGGCAGTGATCTTTCCTTTTCCCCCCTTGCTCTTTCATGCTTTTTCTTCGTTTTGGTCTCGTGGTCGCCCCAACCCATAATTTTTCCCAAATGGATCCTGTGCAAATTCACTTCCAGCCTTCCTCTCCCCATCTCTCCCCTCACACCCAGTCTGTTTCCACCAGGCTGCGCATGCAAAATTGAAACCTGTAGCTGCAGGTTCGGTCATGGGCCCACCTGGGGTTAACTGGCCAGGTGGGTCCACAGAGAAAATTCTAAGGAAATGACTGGGAAGCGTTTATTTCTTTCCCCGCGGCCCCTCTCCACCCCCCATCACTCTTTCTTTGAAGGTGCCAGCTTTCTGAAGACACCCCAGACCTGGGCAGTGTTACCCCCACCCCCACCCCACCCCACCACGGCACTTAACTCGCAACTTTTGAAGGGTTGACCACCGGGGCAGTCTGTTGTGTACAATGCTACCGTCCCACTGTGTTCCTCGGTTCTCAGCCACAGAGTGCTCCCGACCTTTCTCTAGACTGTCACGTTCCTAAATGGTATTACATTAAAATCCTGTGTTTAAACGTCTGCTCACGACTGAACTTGGGGCTGAGCCTGGCGGGGTGGGGGTGGGGGTGGGGGGGTCACTTTTCTCAGGGGATGTTGGCCTGAAATCAAGTGTGGTGGGAATTTATTTGGTGGAAGAGGAACTTCATCTCAGCTCCTGTATTAAATCTGAATTTAGTGGAGGTTTCTAACCTGGGGTATAATCACAGTTGAGAAAAGGAGAGTTGGCTTATGGGTGGATACTTTAAGGTTAATGGGGAGGATCTCTGGGTTTGGGAGAGTTTTGTAGGAAAATATGTTTCAGTATGGAGCTCACATTAATTCTAGGGGTTTCATTTCTGGATCTGTGCCTTAGGATCACACCTGGAGAGGTTCAGGAGTCCATGCCCAGAGTGGAACTGGGGGACAGGCAAAGGCAAGCGAATCTTTCCCCGTACTCTTTCAGCCGGGAAAATGATGGTGGTACATATTTGCTGAGGAATTTTGGGTGATCTAAACCAATAGTTTTCTAGTGCACTTTGAGGTGCTTTGGACTTGAAGGGAAAAAACACGAGCCTGGTAAAAGCCCATGTTGTGATGGCATCTCTTCTTGCACCTTCTATTGTACTTTTTAGCAATCAGAGCCACAGTGAGGACTTTGGGGGCTCTATTTTGATAGGTTAGCTATTTGGAGGGTCCACCATAGTATAATCAGTAGGGTGCTTACCCTGCCCGAGGCTGAACCGGATTTGATCCCCAGCGTTTCATATGGTCCCCTGAGCATGTCAGGAGTGATTCCTGAGTGCAGGAGTAACCCTGAGCACTGCCTGGTGTGGCCCGCCCACAAAAATAATTTTGTTTTTAGCTCAATTATGGCTCCGGTTTTTTACCTCCTTCCAGCTATCCTTAGCCCTGCCTATTAAAACGCTAGAGTGTGACAGTTATTGAAATCTGTGCAGGGAGCCTCGAATTTACAAGGCTGGCTCCGTTATTTGTATAGCTCACGGAGACCCGCAATCTCCCATCTAACCCACACGTGCCCAGGGGTGCTCTGTCCCTTTTGGGCCTTGGAGCAGCGAATGGAAAACCAGGAACTCTGTTTGGATTCTGCGGGGGCGGAGGTGGAGGTTACCTGACAGCTACAGTGGTCCAGATGGTGGCAAAGGGAGGGCTTGGGACCGCTCCTCCGACTGGGCAATTCCAGCCGAAAACGCGGCGGCGTGGAATGGAAGGAAGAATGGAAGGACAGCCACGCACGAAGCTGCGGGACAACCTGCAGAGACTGCCGGGTTGCTAAGGGCTCGTGCTGGGCGCGGGCGGGGCGGCGCGGGTAGGGGTGGGGCTCGGGGACCCGGAAGGGCCTGGAGGCGGGGCATCAAGGCTCAGAGGGTGGGCTGTCGCCCCGCCCCGAGCGTTCCCTTTAAATCCTCTCGCCGCTCTGGGCCCGCCCCCCGGGGGCGGCCGCTCCGCCGCTCCCCATTGGCCGCCGCCGCGCCCGTCACGGTGACGCCGCGCGGGGACCCGCCCACTTCCGAGGGCCCCGAAAACAATTTTAAGATGGCGGCCGCGGCGGCGCGCAAAACAATGGGGCCCGGCCGGCGGGCTCAGGCCTCGGCCTGAGTGGGGCGCGAGCGCCGGCCCGCGGGGGTCGCAGCGGGGGAGACGTGGCGGCGCGCGAGCGCAGGGGCGCCGCCATGGCGCGGCCGTGAGCCCGGAGCGGGCCGCCCCGGCGGGCAGCGCCGCCGCCAGTACCCAGCCGGCCCCCAGAGGCCCGCGGCGGGCCGGGCCGCGGCCCATGGTGCTGCCCACCTGCCCCATGGCGGAGTTCGCGCTGCCGCGGCACAGCGCCGTCATGGAGCGCCTCCGCCGGCGCATCGAGCTGTGCCGGCGCCACCACAGCACCTGCGAGGCCCGCTACGAGGCCGTGTCGCCCGAGCGCCTGGAGCTGGAGCGCCAGCACACCTTCGCGCTGCACCAGCGCTGCATCCAGGCCAAGGCCAAGCGCGCCGGCAAGCACCGGCCCGCGCCCGCCGCGCCCGCCGCGCCCGCCGCGCGCCTCGACGCGGCCGACGGCCCCGAGCCCGCACGCCCCGGCGCGGTGAGTCCGGGTGGTCCGCGCCGCCGGGCCGGGGGGTGGGTCCCGGCGCGGTGAGTCCCGGGGGTCGCTCGCGCCGCGCGCAGCGGGGCCGGGGGTGGGGCCCGGCGCGGTGAGTCCGGGGTCGCCCGGCGCAGATGTCCTGCCCCGTCGGAGAAGCGGCGTCTGCGGGCCCCCGACGGCGCGGGCAGCCCGCGCAGAGGGGCGCCTCGGCCCCCTCCACCCCGCAGCTGGGCTTTCCGGGGCCGAAGCTCAGCAGTTTCTCCCCGAGAAGCCGGGACCCGGACCGGGCGCAGGGCGACGGCTGGGCTGGGAGGAGGAGTGTCGGGGCCCGGGAGCCCGCCGAGGAGGGGCGAGGGGCCGCCCGCAGCCCCCCGGGTGGCCGGGAAAGGGTCTGGACTCGGGCCGAGGGCTTCCCCGGGCTGGTCCGGTTTCCCGGGGTTCGCCGCCTGAACTGACTAGTTCTTTTTGCTTTTCCGGCGTGGGGAGCCCGCGCGGTGCCCAGGACCCACCCGCCGCGCTCCCCTCCCGAGGGCGCGGTGCCGTGCGGAGCAGCCGCTGGCGCGTGTGCGGGGACGGGGGAGCGGGCTCGGGCCGGGGGTCCGGGGTCTGGTGCCGTCCTGCCCCGCCGGTCGCTCAGTGCCCCTGGCCTCACCGGTTGCTCTCAGGCGCCTCGCCTAGGGAAACCCAGGCCGACCTCTCGAACCCGACAGTGTTGGCACCTTAGATCGGGGGTAGCGACCGTGCCCTGCCGTCTCCTCCGGGCAGCCGGCGGGGCTGGCGCCCGTTCCTGTCCGGCCGGGGCCGGTTGTGGGTGTTGAGTCCAAGATGCCACCTCCGCCAGACCTCCCAGGGTTCCCTGAAGACCCCTGAGACAGGGTCTGGATGCTGAGGGTCTCCTAGCTGGACCCACTGGCCGCTGTCCCCTCCACCCCCGTCTCCTGAAATCCGCGTCCTCTCCGCCAGCGGCATCCCCACCTTCGGAAACTATTGTCTGTGCGCTATTTTTAGCACGGCAGGCCGGCCGGCTGGAGGTCCCGGGAAGCGGCCCATAGTGGGCAGGGGCGGGAGGGATCGGGCACCCCGACCCCTCAGCAAGCCCGAGCCTGGGTGCCCGGAGAGAAACGCTTGGCGCTCATGCGCAGCGGACTCGGTCTTACCAACCGAGTCCTTCCCGCAGACCTCGGGGCTGCCCGCACCTTTGGGCCGCCCACCTGAGGGCAGCGCTCCGGCCCGGCCCGGCCCAGCCGCGGCTCCCGGCGCCGTCAGTTCACTGGGGAATGGTCAGTGTCACTCACTGCCGGTCAGCCTCACCTGCCCAGACCCGCACCTCAGTCAGCCTCACCCTCAGGTGGTGGCTGCCCGGGGAGAGGGTCCCCCACCTGCTTCTCCCTATGTGGTTCTATGGGACACCCCCCCCCCAAGGGACGGGTTTGAGTCACCCTGCAGACATCAGGGTCCTGAAATTAGTCTCGCATCCCCCGGGGGCTCCCTGGAGCTGGGAACCGAGGAGCCCGACTGGGTACCGGCTAGCCACGGTGCTGACAGATACCTGGAGCCCACCTGGCTTTTTGTTTTTGTGGTGTGTGTGTGTGTGTGTGTGTAATTGACGCCCCCCCCCCCCCCCATTGAACACCGGTTCTCCTGTTGGCCTGATGTCACCAGCGAGGGCATTCTCAGAGTTGGCACCCACAGACCATTTATACCACTGCAAAAACGCCCCAGGACTGAGGAAGCGCATCTTCTGTGGGCTTCCGCACGCTCCCTTCGCCTCAGTGTCCTAGTTCAGTCCCTCTGCTGACTGCTTCTGTTGAAGCAAAACTGCGCACTTTCTCTTCTAGTTCCAGAGTAGTGTGGTTAGGCTTTCTGGATACTGTGTGCTTTGAAAACAAACAACGGAATGGTGGTACAGCGGGGAGGGTACTTGCTTTGCCCACAGCTGACCGGGGTTTGGTCACTGGCATCCCATAGGGTCCCTGAGTACCACTGGGACTGATCCTGAGCACAGGGCCAGGAGTAACCCCAGAGCATCCTGGATATGGGCTATCCTCACCAGTGCTCCGGGCCTATCCCTGACTGCTCGGAGGTCCTGTGGGTCCTGGGAATTCAAAGCAAGGTCCACGGCTGAGAGACAAGCCTCCCCTGTTCTCCCTTTCCTGTTCCAGACACTGGCTGGTTTCTAACGATAGGCTTGACAGCTGGTTATTAGGCGTGTCAGATTATAGAGAATCCACTCTCCACTGTTTGGGGAGGTGGTGCTCGCGAACTGTTCCTGACATGGGGCCCAGGAGCCCGCCCCGAGGTGTTCCAGGCCCTTCTTGGCTCTGGGCTCAGGAGTGGCCTCTGGGACTGCTTGGGGGACCCTGGAGTTGGTTGTGTACAAAGCCAGCGCCTTCCTACCCTATCACCCCACCTCCCATGCCCCCTTCTCTCTTTCCCTCCCTCTCTCTTTCAAGCAGGGTGACTGAAACTTCAGTAAGAAATAAGCAAATGAGGGGTCAGAGAGATCAGTAGAGCAGGAAAGGCAGGGTGCTTGCCTTGCACATGGCCAACCCTAGTTCAATCCCTGGCATCCCACAAGGTCCCCTGGACCACTACTGGTCCCCTGAGCATTGCCAGGAGTGACTTCTGAGTGCAGAGCCAGGAGTAAGCCCTGAGCATCACCTCGTGTTGTCCAAAAATAAACCAAAGAAGAGGCAAGTAATTGGCCAGAGCAGTAGTACAGCAGAGAGGGTGCTTGCTTGCCTTGCACATGTCCAACCCAGATTCAATCCCGGACATCCCACAAAGTCCCTTGGGAGTAACCCAAGGTGTGACTCAACCCCCCCCCCCAAAAAAAAGATAATAATGATAATTAGGTGAGTGAATTCCTCGCAGAAACTAAGAACATCCTGGTCTGACACTACGCTGGAACCACGTGGGCCAACTTTAGAGAAAATGACCCATTTGGCATTCTTACCTCCCCTTTCTTCCTTGGTCCCAAATAAGCAGATAATGTCAGGAACATGATCAAAACACCCACTTTTGAAAAAAATTGAAAAGTGAAAGAGCTGTCACACCTCGTAGTGCTCAGGGGACCAGCCCAGGGCGCCCCTCTGACAGAGCCTGTGCTTTCAGTTGAGTTCATTTTCTTTTCTTTTTGTTTTGTTTTTTGGCCAACAGCAGTGCTCAAGGCTTGCTCCTGGGTCTGCGCTCAGAGATCACTCCTGTCAGTGGGACCACCAGGGGACAGACCATGTCCCAAGGATTCCTCAGTCCCTCAATCCTTGTTCTTTTCTAAAAACAAGCAGCAATCTCAGTGACCTCCTTTTCCCTCTGGGCTCTTTGCTGTTGCCTGAAAGCCTGAGCGAGTTGTCTTTTCTCTTGCCTTCTCTCTCTCAAAGTACTTTTGCACCCTTTCCTCTTCCTGCCCTCTGCCCTCTGCTCTGGGCCTGCCCACTGACTCCTTAGCCCATTGTCACCACAGTCAGCCACCCTGCTTTCTCCCCGCCCCTGCAGGAGAAAGACCAGCAGGGCTGGAATTGCAAAATCCTGCTGGCTTAGTCATCCTGAGCTTCACTTCCTCCACTGAACACTCAGCCCAGTGCTTCTGCTCTGTCGGATTTTTCCCCCAAAAACCACTTTGTTTTTCCACCTCTTTCCCCCCCATCAACTTCCCCTCCGTAAGTCCAGCTGGGGGCAGCCAGGACAGCCAGGAAAGGTGCTGACCTTTCATAGTCAGTCTGTGCCACCCCCCCCCAACACACGTCCCCTCAAGAACCATCCCTGAACTCAGAGCCAGAAGTCAGCCCTAAGCAGATCCAAAAAAGAAAAGAAGGAAAGAAAGAAACAGCTTGTTTGGGGACTGACGGCTGACTCCTGGCTCTGTGTTCAGGGGTCGAACCCGGGCTGGTCACGCCCTCGCACTGCACTGCTGCCCCAGCCCTGTGCAGGTTCATTGGAAGCCGTCACTAGTGCAGGCGGGTGTAGGGCTGGGGTGTGGAGAGCCGCCCAGTGAGTGTAGGCACCAGCCCTGGACACACCTGGCAGTGCTTAGGGTTCGCTGCTGGTTCCACACTCCTTGGAACTTAAGCAGGATCCAGCTTGGAACCCCGTCAGAAGTCTTCCCTTTAAAAAAAAAAAAAAAACAGGAGCAAATGATGTGACCAGAGTGCTAGTCAGGGCTCAGGTCTGAAAGTTCCCATAAGGGGGGGGTCCCATGGAGGCTGGGGACAGACTGGGTGGGGAAGGGGAATGGACAGGAGGAGCTGGATTCTCAGAGGACCAAACTGAAGGGGCAGGGAGGAAGTTGGGCGGGGGGGGGGGGGGGGGCGACTGCTGGTGTCTCCAGATGCAGTTGCTTTGCAGATTCGGGGGTTCCCCTGAACACTGTGGTAAGTGACCCCCCATATACATATACACATAGTTGGTCGGGTCCCGAATAAACAGACATTCATGTTTCCCCGGAAAACTGGGGATTCACCACCCCCCTTTCCTTCTCCACCTCGGCGCTTGTGCTGGGGTGGCAGCAGTATGGGGCTCTGCCACCCATAGTTGCTCAGGAGATCCTAAAGGGGCAAGACCTGGGTTTTGTCTGGGTGGGGTGGGAGGACTTAGGGCTTCACCCTTTGTGCTTAGCAGCTCTGCTCCAGGCAGCATCCTGGTTGGTGCTCAGGAGCGCCACCTGATGGTGCTAGGGGCTCTTCCTGGAGCATCTCAGAAGCGCCCCCTGGTGGTGCTCAGGGGATTACAACAAACAAGGCAAGGGTCTGCCCTCCTGACCTTTCCCAGGTGCCCCAAGATTTAAGGTTGGGGAGACCCATTGTGGATAGTACAGCAGGGAAGGCTTTTGTCTTGCACACAGTCAATCCTGGTTTGATCTGTGGCATCCTGTATGGTCTCCAGAGCACCCCTGAGTGTGGTCCCCCCTAAAAATAAAGATTTGAGCTTTAAGCTATCTCTGGAGATGTGGACTGGAAGCTTTTCCCAAAGGGTTTTTCCTTAGAACACGAAATTCACAGACTGTTCAGAGGTCCTAAAGGTCCACAGGGTTGGTGGGCACCAGGATAAAGCCCTTGAAACCGGCTCTCCAATCCTTTCTGTGCCAATGGCAATTTGAGCTCTGACCACAGGGCAGAGTCTTAAGAGGATTTTGATCCCTTTGTGAAACAAAGCAAAAGTCTAAGATTCTGGCAGCAGAACAGTTGCGTTTTGAGGTGAGCTGCAGGATGGGCAGTTTAGCATTGTTAGCCAGAGGCTGAGGGGATTGTAGCCCCTTGCTGCTGTCTGCTGTCTGTTTGATCTAAATAATCTGGAAATGCTCTGAACTCCCATCGGCAACGGGTTTCTGTTTTGTTTTTTGATATCAGTGTCTAAAACTTTGCAACCTGGGGTCCAGAAGGATCATACAGCAGGAAGGGCATTGAACTTGTATGCTGCCAACCTGAGTTTGATTCCTGGAACCCCACACAGTCCCCTGAGCACAGCCAGGGGAGTGGATGCAGAGCCAGGTGTAAGCTCTGAGCACCTCTGAGTGTAGCCCCCAAACACAAAGCAGCGTAAGCTTTCTTTAAGCTCAGTCAAAAATTACACTGCACGTAGTGCTCATTAATTACCTCCTGACTAATTAGGTAGCACTGTAGCACTGTCCTCTCGTTGTTCATCGATTGGCTTGAGCGGGCACCAGTAGTATCTCACAACAAATTATGAGGCTTGCTGTTAGTGTTTTTGGCATATCAAATATGTCACGGGGAGCTTGCCAGGCTTTGCTGTGTGGGCGAGGTACTTTCGGTAGCCTGCCAGGCTCTCCGAGACGGGCGGAGGAATCGAATCCAGGTCGGCTGCGTGCAAGGCAAACGCCCTACCTGCTGTGTTGTCACTCCAACCCAACAACAACAACAAATTACAAAAATACTAATGTAGCCGTGTTACTTCAACTACAATTTAAAAACATTTTTTAATCTCCTTAGAATATAGGTTGTGTGACAAATAAAACCCAAAATAACTCATCATTCCATCTAGGGGATGTCTCACAGTTACTTCAAACTTTACTACTTACAAATCACTGACAAGGATATCATATCGTACCACATAGATCAAAAAAGGAGAGGAAGGGTACTTACATTATCTATAAAGATAGCAAAGCACGCCCCTTTTCCCCGGGTAGAGCCATGTGAAGACAGGGTGCAGGAACAGGAAAGGGGCCCCTCAGTCAGGGCCTTACTCTGGTCTGTGCTCTCAGAACATCCTGACTGCCGACCTGGCGAGTGAAGCCAAACTAATTAGGTGAAAGAGAAAAAAATCAGGGGCTGGAATACAGCAGTAAGGAGCTTGCCATGCATGCGGCTGACCCAGGTTTATTACCCCAGCATCCCATATATGGTCCCCTGAGCATGGCCAGTAAGCCCGGGCGGGGGGCGGGGGGAGGGAGAGGGAGATTAATTTACTTTTTTTTTCGGGGGTGGGGGGGCACCCAGCAATTCTCAGAGATCATTCCTGGCCATAATCAGGGGATCTTGTGTGGTGCTGAGGATTGACCCTGGGTTGGTTGCTTGCAAAGCCAATGTCTTCACGTCGGGTCTTATTTGAAACCTCAGTAATCAACTCTTTTCTTATCTGGATTTTCCTTTTCCCCAGGAGCCACCCCTGACTCTACTCCCTGATCACATCGCACTTTATGTCTGATCAAGGAAACGCAGTGCCCGGGAGTGGGTCCAGGGCCGCAGCCGCTGCTACAGCACATGTGGGGCCTCCACCTTTCTCTCTCTCTCTGACCCATGAATCTCCGCTTTTCAAAAAAGAAAAGGCAGAATAGGCTATTTATAGTTGCAGAGGGGAACATTTCCAGAGAATTCTAAATATTGACATTTAAAAATAAAGCAGTTGTATCCCTCTAGCAGTGGAATCTGAATACTTTCGCAAAGCACTTTCTGGGGTGTTACTGTTGTTTTTGTTTGTGGCTTTGGAACCCACACAGCAGTGCTCAAGGCCAGCCCCAGGCCACACTCTGGAGTCACTCTGGCAGGGTTCTGGGATTGTAGACCGTGTCTGGGATAGAGCAGGGGTCAGCTGCTTGCCAACAAGTATATCCACCCCTACTCTATCTCCCGGCCCTAACCCCCTGCCCTCAACAAGCAGTCGGTAATGAGCCATTTTCAGAGAGGGGCTTTTACTATGTTTTGGCTTTTTGCTTTGGGGCAATTCCCTGCAGTGCCCAGGGCTTACTCCTGCAGTCAGGGAACACTCCTGGCAGGCTCAGGGAACTGTATAGGATGCTGGGGGTCGAACCCAGGTTGGCCACATGCAAAGCAAGCGCCCTCTCTGTTATAATACCTCTCTGGCCCTAAAGAAGAGGTTTTCTTGAACAGAAGTTTTAAAGTCTTCCATTTTCTCCTGGAACTTGCATTTATTTATTTATTTTGGGGTGGTATGGCCTCACAGGCAGTGCTTAGGGGTAGGGGACAGACGGCCCGATGGCTTTGTCCGCTGGGATGGGGCCTCACAGTCTTTCAAACCTCCCGACCCTGGTATTTCTCAGACTTGCCCTCTGTTGGTTTCAGTTGACGTTATGACCGAGTTTTCACCAAAACAAGGCTTATGAACTTGGAAATCAGGGTAGGGAGTTGACTCAGTGGTAGAGTTTCCCTTGTGTGTGTGACACCCAGAGTTAAACTCCTGGCACTATCCTTCCCCAAAAAAGATTGAAATAAATAAAAGTTTTTATTTGACCCTGATGCTCTATGCATATTTTTCTTATTTATTTTTGTTTTGGGGGGCCATACCTGGTGATGCTTAGGGTTTTTTCTTGGTTTTGTACTTAGGAATCTACTCCAAGTGAGGCTTGGGGGATCCTGTGGGGTGCCAGAGATTGAACCCCGGTTTGGCTACATGCAAGACAAGCACCCTGTCCACCGTACTATCCCTTCAGCCCTATATTTATTTTCACTTTGGTGCTGTACCCTGCAGTACTCAGGGTTACTCCTGACTTTGCTTTCAGGAATTACTCCTGGCAGTGCTTGTGGGACTATATGGATGCCAGAGATTGATCCCATGTTGGCCATGTGCAAGACAAGCCCTCTACCCGCTATATGATTGCTCAGTCCTGTTTTTCTTTATCTTTGGTTTTGAGGCAATCCCCAGCAGTACTTAGGGGTACTCCTGGATCTGTGCTCAGGATCGCCCCCTGGTGGTACCCTATTGGCCTTGGCTGGTGCACAGGCAGGCTGCAGTGCTCACGCCAACCCACCAGGGAGCACCCCACTGTCAGGGGGCCTAGCAGTTGGGCTCTTATGGGGCCCCACGGGTTCTGGAACCAGGTGGGAGAGAATGAATGTGAGCTGTTTTGTGAGCAGTGGTGCAGGTAGAATGGGGTGGTGAGGGCCGTGGAAATGGAGAAAACTAAGCCGAGCTTTGGTCTTTGTTTGTTGTTTTGGGCCACATCTGGCAATGCTCAGGGTTAACTCTTGAATCTGCACTCAGGAATTACTCCTGGGGTGCTCAGGGGGCCCTATGGGATGCCAGAATTGAACCCGGGTCAGCCAAATGCAACGCAAATGCCCTCCCCACTGTACCATGGCTCCGGCCCAACTGGAACAGGTTAGTAGATCCAGGAGAGAACCAAGGAAGCCCAAGGGCAGCCCAGTCAGGTCTGCCCTCCCACCCTCTCCCGGCAGGTACCAAGGCTGTGGAACCCCTGAATGTCTGCCCCACACAGACCCTCATGCTCCTGAGCAGGGTGGCCCACAGGTGGTGTGGGTCTAGGGACCGGCCATCAGGGCGAGTGGGATGTAGTGAGTGCTTCTGGTTTACATCGCGTAAACCAGAAGAGCAGACTGCATGGGGCCTGGCAGGGTGGCACCCCGGAGGCCGAGCACAGAGATCACCTGGGAACTGGGCACCATGAAGGGAAGGTTTTCAGGCGGTGGGACAGGAGAGGAGTGTACTGCTGAGCGTCTGGACACAAACTGCAGGGCCCCGCACGGTTTGCTGTCGATGGGAGTGTGTGGGGGTGAGGGGGGCTGGGTCCCCACCCTCCCCTTCAGTAGCGCCCACCAAGGGTCCCTGCAGCAGCCTTGGGGTCTGGTCTAGGGGTGCCTAAGTGACCCTCCTTGCTCTGCACCCGCAGCATCTCCACGACGCGGTGAAGCGCAACCTGGATAACACCAGCTCCCCGCAGAACGGGGACCAGCAGAACGGTTACAGCGACCTCTTCGCTGCTGCTGCCGCCGCCGCTGCCGCCGCCGCCGCTGCTGCTGCCGCCGCCGCCGCCGCGACGCCCGCTGGGGCGGGCCCCAAGAAGACCCGGCGCGAGGCGCCCACCGCCTCCCCGCTGGCGGCGCCCGCGGAGCAGACCGAGGCCCCGCGGAAGGCAGGCAGGGCCGAGGCAGGCGGCGCCGAGCCCCCCGCGCTGGCCCGCGACCTGAAGCAGGAGCCGGCCGACGAGCTGCCCTGCGTGCTGGCGGGCGCGGGCGCCGCCCTGCAGGGCAACCTCATGCCCGACCTCAACCTCAACGAGCAGGAGTGGAAGGAGCTCATCGAGGAGCTCAACCGCTCCGTGCCCGACGAGGACATGAAGGACCTGTTCGCCGACGACTTCGACGACAAGAAGGAGCCCGAGCCGCCGCCTGCGCCCGCGCCCCCCGACGTGCACGTCAAGAGCGAGTTCGAGGCCGAGCGCCGCGCCCGCGGCTCCCCCGGCTTCCTGGTGCCCGACGGCGCCGCCGCGCAGCCCCTCTTCCACGTGGCCGAGCTGCCCACGCCGGGGCTCCTGCCGCCCGCCCCCACCACGTCTGCCCAGCACGCCCTACCCGGCGTGGGGCTGCCGGACCCAGGCCAGACCGCCTCCTCCGAGCTGTCCTCCGCGCACCAGCTGCAGCAGATGGCCGCCAAGCAGAAGCTGCTGCAGAACCCGTCCTCCGCCGCGCCGGCCCCAGGCTCCCTGGTGGGCTCCTGGTCGGCCGCCGCAGCCCACGGGGCCTTTGGGGGGGCCTACCCCCTGGACAAGGCGGCCAGCCCGCCCGGCTACAGCAAAGCCGACTTCGGGGGCTCTGCCCTCCTGTTGGGGCCCGGCGGGAACCAGGGCTCCCCGCGGCCCCCCAATGCCGGCGGCCCCTACCTCCAGGCGGGCCACCACCACGGCACCCTCTTGGGCCACACGCCCGGCGCCGGGACCCCCAGCTCCGGGCCCGCGCCGGCCTCAGTGCTGGACTACGGTAACACCAAGCCTCTGTCGCATTACAAAGCTGACTGCGGGCAGCCCGGCGGGGGCCAGGGCAAAGCCACCCTCACGGCCTCCTACCTGCAGCCGGCGCTGCCCCCGCTGGGCACCGAACAGAACGCACTGTTCCTGCTAAAGGCCAAGGCGGGCGCCGGGCCCTTCCGCGCCCTTCCTGCTGGTCAGGTGAGTGGGTGCTGCCCTCCCGCCGGGGCCTCCCTCCCTGGGCTTTCCTCCTCCATCCACGTCTTCTCCTTCCTCCCATTCAAACTCCCCCGTCCCACGTGGTCCACCTGCTGCCCTTCCTGCGGATTCAGTTTACCTCCCTCCTGGCCCAGCCTCCCTCTACTGAGCTGGCAGTTCAACCTCATCTCTCGCCCTCTTCCCCTCCTCGACCTTCTAACTCCCTTCAGCCCCTCCCCACGGCTCATCCTGCCTCCTCATTCCCGCTCACAGCAGCTAGGGGGCTCCCAGAAAAGGCCTGGGGCTCCTTAGACATGTTCTTGGGTGGAAAAGTAGCTATTTGAGGCCAGAGAAGGACCAAATACTTTGTTTTTTTTTGTTTTGGGTGTTTGGTTTGGTTTGTTATTTGAGCCATACTCAGCACTGCTTAGGAATTAAGTGTTGACAGCCAGTCTGACTCCGGCTCTCTGCTCAGGGATCATTCCTGGCAGTGTTCTGGGGACCCTAGAGGGTACCCAGGATGGAGCCCAGGTAGGCTGCATGCAACGTCACTTGGTTTTGAAGCCTGAGCCCTTGGCCATGAGTAGCCTTGAATGTCACTTGAATTAAGTCACTTAGTTGTGGGTGGGCCTGGTTTTTGTTATTTTCCCCATGACTTTGGGCCTCAGAAGGGTTCAGAAGCTCCTCCCCACTCTGTTTTCAGGAGTGATTTGGGGGCCATGGGTTGCCAGGGGATTGTGCCTCGGGCTCCGGCATGCGTTCAGGCCTTTTGAGCTGTTCCTGACCCCTAAACATCACATTGGGGGCGGGGGTTTGGGGTCAGACCTAGCAGTACTCGGGAATCCTTCCTGTAGTGCTTGGGGGACCTTGTGGTCTTAGGGGTGGCACCAGGGTCTGCTGCGTGCAAGGCAAGGACCATATTAGCCCCAAACTCACTCTCTCTGACCCCCTTTCTTGATTTTGAAATCATCTGTCAGACCAGATCAGTACATTCAAATCGCCAGAGTTTTGGTTGTTGACTTAGGAAACTTTTCTTCTTCAGGAGCCTTCCTGGCTGTCAGGAGTTGAGCCCACAGCCCCAAACTGCCCTCAACACTGCCCCAGCCCCGCCCACAGACCCACCCCCCATCCAGCACTCACCCCACCCCCAGGACTGGCTCTTTCCTCTGGCAGGGCGCCCCACCCTGCACCCTAGCCTCGCATTCTGAGGAGGCTGCAACTTCCTTCTATGGGACTGCCCAAAAGGACTCTCATTGCAGCCCACCCCGAAATCTGTCGAACCAATCCACAATGACAGAGTACAGCAGCAAAGGCACTTGCCTTGCACGTGGCCAACCAGTTCAATCTCCAGCACCCCTTAGGGTCCCCAGAGCTCCCCAGAGCCTCGCTAGGAGTGGTTCCTGTGCAGCGCAGGAGTCAGCCTAGAGTACTGGCCAGGCGTGGCCAGCAGCAAAGCCAGTCAGGGCCCAGAGTGGGGTCGAGCAGAGCTTCCTGGTGATGGAGAGGGGGCATCACTGTGCCCAGAGACGGGGGTAGGGCAGGCTTGGGAGGTCTTGGGTCCAGGAAGCAGAGGGAGGGAGTGGTCTTGTCAGCTGGATCTGAAGGGTCGGGGCTCCCCTTCCTGACCCAGACCCACACTCTGTGCTTGTGCTGCTGCAGGAGCAGACGCCCTCCAGTGTCCCCGTGGCCACCCCTGCTGGTGGAGTGGGCGGGGCTCAGGTGGCGGCGGGGGCGCACGGCAGCGCCCCCTACCTGAGCGGCGCGCAGCAGGCGGCCGTGCTGAAGCAGCACCAGATGCTCCTGGACCAGCAGAAGCAGCGCGAGCAGCACCACTTCCTGCAGAGGCAGCAGCAGCTGCTGGCCGAGCAGGTGAGGGTTGACCCCGCACCTCCACAGCGGGCCCTGGAGGTCCCGGAAGGCACTTCCACACATAGGGCTCGCCCTGGGTCCAGCCGCAATACCCCTGGGCACCCCGCGAGTCTCCCCAGGAAGGCACAGACAGAGCCAGGAGTTGCCCTGGAGGCCTGCCTGGCAGTGTGGTCCCCAACCCTGGGGGTGGGGCTGAAACATTCCTCAGGCTGGGAGGTGGGACAAGTTTGGTAGCAACCATAACGGGGAGGGGGGGCTCCCGGTCTGCTGTGGCGGGAGGGGGACGTAGGGAAGGGGGTGGTTCAGGCCTTTCTGGCATTTTCTAGGAGAAGCAGCAGTTCCAGCGACATCTGACGCGCCCGCCTCCCCAGTACCAAGACCCGAATCAGAGCAGCTTCCCTCAGCAGGTTGGAGCATTCCCAGGTGAGAGTTGACGGATAAGCAAGGACAGTCAGGCATGGGGCTGAGGGTCAGGGCAGGATGGGCGGAGGCAGGGGAGCCATGGTGGGCGGTGGGGCTAGGGGGGACAGAAGGGGCAGAGCTAGAGTACAGAGGGGTGGGACAGAGCTAGATGGGATGGGGGAGCTAGAGTGAGCCAGCAGGGGGATGAGGGGAGGGGCAGGCCAGAGCCCGAGTGAGCAAGGCATGCCCCTCTGCCTCCTGAATGCGGGTCTGAGCCTTGGAGGCACCCCTCCTGACCCCTTCATCTCCAAAGTCACAGTTTCCCGTGCAGGACCCAGGCGGCCCCCACATTGGAGCCCTCGCCCATCCTGCTCCCTTGCTTACTCCCCTGGAAACGCTGCTTTTGGCCCTGTAGAAACCCATGCCCTAGAATGACCTCCCCTACCCACACTCTCCGTCCTCCCCACCATAGCCCCAGCACCCCTTAGAAACACAGCGGGAGGGATGCTTGGCGTTCCTGCAAGCCCAAGTTTGACCCCCTGCTTCAGAGGCCCGCTGTCCCCCCCTCCCCAACCCGAGCCAGGGAAGAGACCTTGAAAGGCTGAATGCAGCAACTGGACTTATACTGTGCAGTGGGTAGAGTTTGCCTGGCACACGACCAACTCGGCTTTGATCCCTGGCAGCCCATAGGACGGGTCCCCTGAGCCTACCAGTACTGATCCCTGAGTGCAGAGCCAGGAGTGAGCCCCAAGCACCACCAAAAAAATAAAATAACGTTTGGGTTTAGGGTTTGCATACGGGAACCCTAGGTTTGCTATCCCATGTAATGTGTGCACCCTGCCCCACCAAGAATATCCTAAGCACCTGAAGCTGAGAGTAAACCCCCAACCCCCAGACTTCAGTTAAACTCACACAGATCTGGAAACTGAAGAGAGAGCCCACTCGTTCAATCCCCGGCAGCCCACATGGTTCCCAGAGCCCACCAGGACTGACCCTGAGTGCAGAGCCCAGAATAAGCCCTGAGCACTGCCCATAGGGCCCAGAAACCGAACAGTTGGCACAGACCAGCCCAGGGCACCCTTCTTTGTCAGGCCTCCCCCACTCGGTGTTCCCTTCCTCTCAGCCCCCCAATCCCTACGCTGCCTGTGCTCCTGGAGCCATGCCCTCACAGCTGGGGCCACCCTCCCCTGTGTCGACAGGCCTGCAAGCCCCCTACCCCCGCTCGCTCACCCTCGCCTTCTCTCACTCCCTCAGGCTCCTCGACGGCCGTGCCTGGCATGAGCAGCTGCCCGCGCGCCTTCTCCCAGCCCGGGAACCTCATGTCGCTGGGCCCCGGACTCGCGCCCACAGGCTCCGGCCCGCAGGAGCGTGGGGTGCCACCCTTCTCCGCCGGGCCCCCCACTCTGCCCCAGCAGCCGCAGCCTGGGGGGCTGTATAGCCTGAGCCCTGCCAACGGCCACGCTCACCTGCCCCGCCCCGGGGGCAGCGCTGGGGGCGGTGCCTACGGGCAGAACTCGCTGGGGGGCGCTGGCCTGCCGCCCCCGCACACCAAGGGGAGCCTGGCGAAGCCCCCCGCCCCGCGGGTGTCGGCCGCTCTGGGGGCCCAGACGCCCGCCTGGCAGCACCAGGGGCTGGCGCCTGGCTTGAGCGCCCAGAGCCCGGGCGGGGCGGGCGCGGGCGCCCCCTTCTCCCCCGCAGCGCCCGCCTTCCACCTGCCGGCGTCGCAGGCCCACCTGAAGGTGAGCGGCCCCCCGTTCCCGCAGCCCCTGCCCAGCCGGCCCCTGGCGCCCCCCGGGAGCGCGCCGCCACCGCCACGGGCCAGCGCGCCCACTGCGGGCGCCCCCCAGCCGGGCCTGCCGGAGCTGGGGGGCTTCAGCCAGAGCCCCGGGCCCACGCTGGGTGGCCGCGGGGGGCTACCGTGCACCCAGGCCTACCAGGTGCGCGCAGCGGGCGCCGCCACCGAGCTGCCCTGCCCCTTCGCGGGGGACGGCGACCTCATCGACTCGCTGCTGAAGAGCCGGACGTCGGAGGAGTGGATGCGGGACCTGGATGACCTCCTGGGGCCCCAGTGACCGGGGCCTGCTGCAGGAGCAGGACCGCAGTGACGGGACCAACAGCCTCCTGAGGGCCAGGCGCTCTCGCCCCGCCCTATCCGGCAGGCCCCCCACCTCTGGGGCCCGAGGGGTCCTACCCTCCGGACCAAAACACGCCCATGGCCCAGGTCAAACACAGAAATGGGGGTCCCCTGCCACAGCACCCCCGGGGAGGTTTCGGCAAAGCAGAACCTTTGCAGTTTGTAGCTGAGAGAAGATGAATTTTTGTATTTTTTTCCAACTTGTGAGATGTGAGATTAGAAGGTAGGGGTGCAGTTGATCGAGTGGGGACACCCCGTTCACTGCTGCCTTGGAAGGCCCAGCCTCTTAATTCTGCCTCTCCGGCTTCGGCGGGTCAGTGCCCAGAATGGAAGGAGGCTGCCCTGGCCCTGGATCCGCGCCTTGGCCGTCCCCCGCCGCGCCCACCCCCAGACAGGGAGGCTGGAGCTCCGGAATCCGGTCCCGCAGTCTCAACCTGGCGCCTTCTGCGGTTGCCCCGGAGAAGCGCGGGAGGGGGTGGGCGTTTGGGGAGCGTGCAGATTCCTTCCATCCCCTCCCCCATCTGCGTCTCGGGGACACACACCCCTGCCCACTCCCGCTGCGCGCTCCCTGGCACCGGGAAACCTCCCATCAGGTCGAGTCTGCCTAGCCGAGGGCCCGGTCTGCAGCTGTGTGCCCTGCTCGTCGGGGAGACTGCTCACAGCACCCCCACCTTGCACTTTTCCGAGAATTGCTTTATAACACTAAACCAGCGCTCCCGGGGGTGGAAGAATTAATTCACTCCTGGGTCCGAGTCCGCCCCAGGGTGCGCTGTGGCTTGGATTGGAGGGAGCAGTTGCATCTACAGAGGGTCGACTGGGGGATGGGGCAAGAAACGTCTTGAGGGGTCCCAGAGAAAGCCACACACAGCCATCCCCCTCTTCTGGCGCAGGAGACTTGAGGGTTCCTAGAAGCGCCCCCATTACCTACACCCCGCACCCGGGTCGTTATTCCGCACCAGCAGTGCCTTGCCAGGGGGTCCTGGAACTCCCAATCCTCTAATAGCCATTAGCTGCCGCTGGTAGAGGGAGCGCTTCCTGTCTCCCTCCCACCCCCATCCCAGGCTGAATTTCATTTCCCCCAGAAGGGAAGAAGCAATCAGGCCAGTGGACACCCCACCCTGGGGGTGGGGGGACGGTGGTTCCCCAATCCGCCGGAGGAAGAGGGTGATTTCAGCGGGTTTTCTACCAAAAATACGGGCTGAAGGCTGGTGACCTCCCCTAGCTCCTGCCCTTCCCCCCACTCCGGGGAGGTGAGCGGGACCACCCTGCCTTAGTCCGGGGCCGCCAGGTCAAAGCAATACAATGTGATGTTGGGGGTCCCTCCCCCGGAGCTGCCCGTGGCTTTATTTATGAACCTGGTGTGTCGGGTGGCCAGGGGGACGCACGATACCCCACCTTCCAGGAGCCAAGACTCAAAGGGTGCTCGGACTTTTGTTATACACACTTGCTTTGTGTAAATAAATGTTTACAGTTTTATATTAAAGATGGAATAAGCGTTAGAGCTTCGGACTATATTTTTTACTTTTATAGATTTTTAAGAACTATGATCCTTTATGTTGGGGGGGCGTGGCTATGATACGTTTTCTGCAAACGGTTGGTATTGTTGATTTTATATTGTCGGTCAAGTACAGATCTGCTTGTCCCCCACCGACTCTCCTTAACTCTGCTCCTTACCCCCAAAACACAGTCTTCACTTTTTTCCTTGTTTTCTTATTCTGAAATAATAAAAGTATTTTGCTAGTACGTAACCTCCCGTGTACTGGACATGCAGTGGCTGTGCTGGATCGGGAGAGGGGGTCAAGGCAAGGCATCCTGATTTGGTGCTAGCTTTCTAGGGGTCGGAGCTGGAGCGATAGCACAGCGGGTAGGGCGTTTGCCTTGCACGCAGCCAACATGGCCGACCCGAGTTCGATTCCTCCGCCCCTCTCGGAGAGCCCGGCAAGCTACCGAGAGTATTCGATATGCCAGACACAGTAACAACAAAGTCTCCAATGGAGACGTTACTGGGCCCGCTCGAGCAAATCGATGATCAACGGGAGGGCCTTTACCTTTACCTTCTAGGGGCCCCAGTACCCCCCCCCCCACAGCCTTTGACATGGCTATTCGGGTATGCCAATCAGCGCTGTCCAGTGCAATGCTCCGTCCCGCCGCTCTTTAAACCAACCACTCAGAACACTGGTGAATTGCTCCTCCCCGCCACCTTTTAGTCTAGCCATTCAGAGCGATTCTGGTGAATTACGCCTTCCCAAGCCTCCCCTTAGGTTTTGGTCTTAAGGTGTGGCCCAAAAAGTAGTGGTCGGGGCTGAAGCGATAGCACAGAGGGTAGGGCAGTTGCCTTGCACGCGGCAGACCCGGGTTCGGTTCCCAACATCCCATATCGTCCCCTGAGCACTGCCAGGAGTAATTCCTCAGTGGAGAACCAGGAGTAACCCCTGTGCATTGCCGGGTGTGACCCAAAAGGGAAAAAAAAATGGTTTGAGCTGGGTTCAATCTCCAGCATCTTAGATGATCTCCTGAGCTGTAGTTGAATGATAATCATCAACAGGTGTGGCCCAAAAATCAATAAGGGTTTAATCGAGGGCTGCCAAAAATGCTTGAAGGAAACATTTCTAAGCATAGACTGATCTTCCATTAATCTATTGAGCCTGCCAGTTCAATCCTCAGCATTTCATATGGTCCCCTGAGCCCCGCCAGTAGCAAACCCTGAGCACTATAGATTATACCATCGCCCCGCCCAAAAAAGCCAACGACATTGAAAAGACCCTAGGCCATCCACCGAAAACTGACTGAGCAGAGAATAGGATTGAGCCTCAATGAACTTTTTTGAAAATTATTTTTGTTTTGGGGCCACACCCAGCTTACTTGTGGCTCTGTGCAGTCTCAGGGGACATAATGAGATGCTGGGGATCGAACCCACGTTTGTCCCTTGCAAGGCAAGTGTCCTACCCACTGTATTGAATTGCAGCCTCCAGTATTGAAATTTTTAACTGTCACTGTCACTGTCCTCCCGTTGTTCATCGATTTTCTCGAGCTTGGCATATTGAATATGTCATGGGTAGCTTGCCAGGCTTTGCTGTGAGGGCAAGATACTCTCGGTAGCTTGCCAGGCTCTCCGAGAGGGGCAGAAGAATATTCTTTAATTTTACTGAAGACTACATTTTTCTTTTTTGGAGGAGGTGATTCTTGGATCACACCTGGTGGTGCTCAGGAGTGACTCCTGGTAGTGTTCTGGGAACTCTCTGCATTTCCAGAACTAGAACTGTGTTCCCACATACAAGGCAAAACCTTACACCCTGTATTATCTCTGGCCCACGAAGTCAATTTTCAACCCATCATATACTAAAATCATTGCCCTGCTTAGCAAGGAGTAGCTGGTACATCCCTGTATCCACTATTTAGGGTGGGGCCATCAGTTAGATGTTCAGGGATTACGCCAAATTCTGTTTAGGAACTCCCTTAGGTGATGCTTCAGGCCATTACTGACGCTGATATGGAGCGCCCCCTACTGGTCCTTAGAGACCATATGCGGTGCCCAGGCTGGAATAGGGTCCCATCTTCATGCAAAGCCAGTTCCTTCACTCCAGCGCTGCTGCCTGTTTGGACCCAATGTGCCCCCTTCCCTCCTGCTGGAAACCATTCAAAACCTCTACTCTGACCCTTGAGGTCCAGCTTAGAGGCCACACCCATCAATATTTTTGTTTGTTTGGGGGCTATACCTAGCAGTGCCCAGGGCTTACCTCTGGCACTGCACTCAGGGATCACTCCTGGTGTTTCTTGAGGTAGTCTATGGCCTGTTTAGGATCAAATCTGGGTTGGCCGCATGCAAGGCAAGCACCCTACCCACTGTAGTATCTCTCTGGCCAACCGCCAGGCAATCTTGAAGGAAATGGGATCACTCGCAGGTCCTTCCCGGGGAAGGGTAGGGCTGAGTGCCAAACCAGGCAGACGACAGCCTGGGCACGGGCCCAGAATAGGGAAAAGGGATACGTAGAAAGTTGGCTCAGGGAGAATATTCAAATGGCAGAGACCTGGCGGAGGCTCCCAAAGTCCTTGCTCGCTGTCACCCAGCTTGGCTGGTGGAAGCTCCCAGGAATCTGGGGCTCAGGCCAAGAAAGCCTCGGCAGCTGCTGCCTCAAGCCATGAAGGGGGGGGGGGGAGCATCTGGGCAGGGGAAGGGCAAGCAAGGCAGGCAGAAGCTGCTCCCTGCAGGGGGGACCTGGGAGGAGTCAGGGGGAAATAGCGATCATGGAAAACAGCCAGGCTAGAGGACCCAAACCCCAAGAGCAGGAAGTGAGATGGTTACCAGCTGCACAAACACATAGATAGGGCAGATTGCATCCAAGCAGGAGGAGGGTGAGTGCAGCCCGTCCTGGCACCACATAATCCCAGGAGACCCACTAAGTGCTGGTTGCAATAGGTGCCCAGTTCCGGCCTCACACTAGAAATTCTCAGACCTGGGAGCTGGAGTGATAGTACAGCAGGTAGGGCGTTTGCCTTGCACGTGGCCGACCCGGGTTCGATTCCCAGCATCCCATATGGTCCCCTGTGCACTGCCAGGAGTCATTCCTGAGTTCATGAGCCAGGAGTAACCCCTGTGCATCGCCAAAAAAAACAAGAAAAAAACAAAAGAAATTCTCAGACCTGAAATTCCGAGTTGCTTACAGAAACTCCATAAACCCAATAGACATCTGGTGCTTACACTTTTGTTTTGGCGAGGGGGGAGATTGTTGTTTGTTTTTGGGTCACTCTCAGTGATGCTCGGGGGTTACTCCTGTCTCTGCACTCAAGAATTACTCCTGACAGTGTTCATAGGGGACCATACGGGATGCCAGGGATCAAACCTGGGTTGGTCCTTATACTTGAACGTCAGGAAAAGCCTCAGGCAGAACCGAAATACCAGTGCAGGCCCAAGAAGGATCAGAGTAGCCTCGCTTCTCCACTGCAGCCTCCAGACCAAACCGAGCGTAGAAGAGATGATGACGCAGGAGCACACAGAGAACGGCAGCCTCATGAGGCAGACCTCAGGAAAGGCACCTCTGGGAAAGAATCGCAGAGTGGGGGCAGCGGGAGGGGCTTCTGCAGTAGAGATGATGGTCCTGGCTAGGTTGAAGTCATTGCCACAGCAGGTAGGACATTTGTCTTGCATGTGACGAATCCAGGTTTGATCCCCGGCACCCCAAGGTTTCCTGAGCACAACCAGGAGTGTTCCCTGATCTAGAAGTTCTAACCTCCTGACCGAAGAAACTTATTTGACAGGACATGCCTGGGGGTTGGGGGTTCCAGGGAGCTGGTGCAAAGGGCTGGAACATCTGCACTGTAGGGAGGAAGTCTGGGTTCCCTGAAAAGCAAAGCACAGACCCCTGAGCCTGGCTGGGTACACCAAAACAAAAGCCAGGGATCAAAGAGAGTACAGGGTGGAAGGTACTTGCCTTGTTTGAGGCTGACCGAGTTTCACCCCTGGCATTGTATATGGTCCTGTGAGCACTGCCAGGAGTGATCCCTAAGCACACAACCAGGATTAATTCTTGAGCAAACAGCAAGGAGTGATCCCTAAGCAGAGAGCCAAGAGTCAGTCCTGAGCACAGATCCAGGAGTAAACCCTGAACCCCAATGGGTGTGGTCCCCAAATATAAAATCCTGAAGAATTGAGACAGTCTGATCTTATCTTGTATGAGACCATTGATTCAAGAAACAATAGGTTGACTTAGATAAACTAACTTGCCAGCTTGCAAGCGCCTGGTAGTAAGTTCAAATCCCCAATCCCCTACATGCACAAGGTGAAATTCTGGTCACTTTGTTGGCTACAACTCCAGCCAGTACAGTGATTCCCAGACACACAACCACAACAAAGAGTTGTGACACCTGCCCTAGCAACTCAAGAGAAGTTTATGAGAAAGAATTAGAGGCAGAAACGTTACTTAATAAAATTAGGGATGTAATAAAATTAGATAATAAGAGTTAATAACAGAATACACAATTGAGGGTCGGAGAGATAGTCCAGAGGCTAAGGGATTTATTGCCTTGCACATGGACAACATGTTTCTATCCCTGGCAAGGTATAGGGTTCCCAAGAACTGCCAAGAGCGAGCCCTGACAGCCAGGAGTGAGCCCTGAGCATCACAGCCCCTTCCCTGCCCCACCACACACACACAAAACAAACCACTTCTCTGAGGTGTCCTTTCCATACAACATAACTTACACACCGAAATAGACTATTCAGTGTTTTTTGCTTTGGACCATGTGGGTGGTGCTAAGGGCTCACTCCCGGCCGAGCTGAGGATCCTGTGTTAATTCCAGGTTAGTGCCTTAACCCCCTGAACTGTCTCTCAGGCCCTCTTATTTATGGGGATGGGGGGGGTTCCCTGCATATCTCTGCTTGCACAGCATGTGCTCCAGCCCCTGGAACCAGCTCCCGACTTCATTTATGCTGTTAATAAACTCACAGACCCCTGCCAACAGGCTCATAACCCAGTTTTATTTATTTTTGAAGTAAAAGAGATTTTATCTGGAGGGTTTTTGAAGGTGGGGTGGTGGGGGAGAGAGAGAGAGAGAGAGAGAGAGAGAGAGAGAGAGAGAGAGAGAGAGAGAGAGAGAAAGAGAGAGAGAGAGAGAGAGAGATCAGGAGAGAATACGGGCTTTTCCAAGCAAGGGCAGAGAGAGCCCTACACACATGCCAGCATTAGACAGGAAAGCATGAAAGCACACACCTCACCTCAAGAGGGAAGTTGCGGGGCTGGAGTGATAGCACAGCGGGTAGGGCATTTGCCTTGCACACAGCCGACCCGGGTTCGATTCCCAACATCCCATATGAGCACTGCCAGGAGTAATTGGTGAGTGCAGACCCAGGAGGAACCCCTGTGCATCGCCCGGTATGACCACCCCCCCAAAAAAGAGGGGCGACTCAGGGGACACGTGCTCGGCCCACAAGCAGCACCTGGGCTCGGGCAGCATCTGCGCCCATACCCCAGCTTTCGAGCTTTTCATCACCCTGACAAGTCACATGCTCATAAGCAGCCCCAGGCGGCCTAAACGGGGTTCTCCAACTGCTTCTTTGCCTTTTCCCAAGTTTGTGGGAGTAGAATCAGCAACATCTGGGCCTGTGTGTCTAGTGTAACTGCCTCAGCACCTTGCTCTGTAATTTCTGTTGGCGAGGTAACTGGTGAAGCCTCCATGATGCCTGGGAACGGCCCGAGGGGGCGGGACCCACGTCAATTTCTCAGCTTGGAGACTTGATTGATGCTTTCATCTCATAAATTTAAAACTCCAGGGCGGGGCAGAGAGAGTCCAGGGCTTAAAGGTCTTGCCTTCGACAAGTCCCACCCAGGTTTGAACCCTGTGCACCCCAGAGGGTTCTCAAAGTCCCCCCAGGAGTGGCTCCTGAGCACAGAGTCAGGAGGAAGCCCTGAATACTACCAGGTGTAGTTTATAAAACAAAAGTAAATAAAAATAATAGGGTGTGGGCTGGAGCGATAGCACAGCGGGGAGGGCGTGTGCCTTGCACGCGGCCTACACGGGTTCCATTCCCAGCATCCCATATGGTCTCCCGAGCACCGCCAGGAGTCATTCCTGCGTGCAGAGCCAGGAGTGACCCCTGAGCATCGCCGGGTGTGGCTAAAAAAGAAAAAAATAGTAACAATAGGGCGAGCCCCTCCAAGCATGGCTCAGGCCCAGTCCTGACACTTCGCAGCCACTGAGGAGAGACAGCTTGAGGCTTGTTCAAACTCGGGTCCTTGTCTGAGACTGGAGCCACATAGATGATATATTTGCAACTATTGGGGGCAGAGGTTTAGGGGTGACACACAGTGATGCAAAGGGCTTACTCTGTGCTCAGGAGCGCCCCCTGGCGGTGCTCGGGGACTGTTCCAGGCTCTGTGCTCAGGAGCGCCCCCTGGCGGTGCTCGGGGACTGTTCTGGGCTCTGTGTTCAGGAGCGCCCCTTGGTGGTGATTGAGGACTGTTCCTGACTCTGCTCAGGAGCGCCCCCTGGCCGTGTTCCGGGCTCTGTTCAGGAGTGCCTCCTTGCGCTGCTTTGGCAGGATCCCTTTCTACTTTCCAACCCCATTATTATTGCTCCTTCTGGTGTGTGGCTCTGACCTTGCAATTCCATTTGTCTTGTCCCTCCCGGAGAGCCTTGCTGAGCTGAGCTTCTAGCAGATTCCTTAGGACCCCAGCCATAGAGCGTGGGTGGTGGGGCTCACTGTGTTGGCTCTAGGAGGGCTGTTTTTAGTTCCCTACCGGTTGTTGGCCCCTGTTTCTGGGATGGGGGCAGCCCAGATGCCCAGGCAGCTGGAACCCCCTCCCCCCACCCAGTGACTTCCTCAGAAACTGCTGAGGATTTCCCTCTACTTCCTGCCATCCAGGCCAGGGAGGATGCAGAATCAAGGCACCCAAGGCTCCGAAGCACAACAGGCACGCCCAGACCCCCGCCTATCTGCAGTGTCCCGGGCCAACGAGACGTGGTCTTCCTGGGGACAGCAGCCACCTGCTGTGTGTCTCCCTTTCTAACTGGGGCCACCAGGAAGCTCAGAGGAGTGGTCCAGTCGGGTAAGAGGGTGGGGTGGCCGAGACAGGGCTTCTGGAAGCTTCCAGGACCGCCTTGGGCTGCCATGGCTTCTACACCTTGAATCATGGCAGCCATAGCCACAGTTTCTATGTGGCCACAAAAAGCCACGAGGCTGAAAAGGCTGATGCCTGGAGGGACCTCCAGCTGGCATGCAACACTGCAGGGGAGAAAGTGCTTGGGGGCCCCTCAACAAGGTACAGCGCAGTGACCACCAGCCTGACGTAATCCCGCCAGCAGAAGCCAGAAGGAGAAGTGGGCTCTCTCACCCCCCACCCTCAGAAAACTTGTTCAATTTTTTGAGGCCACATCAGGGATAACTCTGGCTCTGCTCAGGGACTGCTCGTGGCAGGGCTGGGGGGACCCTGTGGGTTGCCAGGGACAGAACTGGGTTGGACATGAAGCAAACATGCCCTCCAGCTCTTCTTTCTCTCCTGCCCCAATCAAGTGGAAAATCAGACCAAGGAGTGGGGGAGGAGGGCAGGAGTCACCCCATCCTTTCCAAGTGGGGAGGAAACCCTTGGGGACCCCTCTTCTATGCTCTCCTGCCAGCCATAAGGAAGTTTCTAAGAACACCCCAGCTGCAGCCTAGCACACCCCTTCCATGTCCTTCTCAAGGCCTGGAGTGGGGGTCAGCTAAGGGCGGATGCACAGGGATTGAAGGGAGGGGTTTCCTCAGAATCGGGGTGGAGGGCCAGATTTGGAAATGGTATAGTAAGGGTCAAAGGGACATCAGGGCTGACTGAGGGCGGAGGGGGCATGACATATACTGTCCCTGAGTTACAGCCCCAGCCCAGTACGGCCCCCTGGACAGGACTGAACCCCCAGCATCATGTGTCTGGGGCCTGTAAGGTTGTCTGGGAGACACTGGCATACCTCCCCCAAGTAATAATGATAATGCCTGGAGAGAGACAACTGGGAAGGTCTGGCCTCACATGCAGCTTGTGGTGTGCTGTCCCTGGCAGAGCGAAGGGTCCTCCAGCCCTGCCAGGGTTGGTCTCTGATCGCTGAGACTGAGCGGAAAGGAAGTGGCCAGCGCCAGGCTCCGGCCCCAGCTGCCCCTCGGCCCGCCCTCAGCCTCAACCCCGCCCCCGCCCCGTGTCATGTCCCAGAAGGGCAGGGCCCGCAGTCACCGTCCACTCCCCTTCCTGCTGATAAATGCCCAAGCCGTCCCGCCTGCCACCCACCACCTGCAACCATGGACCGCGACGACATCGCCCTTCTGGCCACTGTCACCATCCTGGGCGTCCTGCTACAAGGTGGGCCCAGGGTTCCCGTCCAGAGCGGTGGGGACAGGGGATGCGCAGAGGCCAGGCTGGGGTGGCCCAGGGCCATCTCGCTCTTCTCCAGAGGAGGATGGTGGCGGGGGGGCAGGGCTGTGGAGGAACGTCTGTGGGGTGACCAGTAGAACCCGGGTGTGGGGCTGAGGCCTGTGAAGCCACAGAGAGTAACAAGGGACCATTCCTGCAGCTCAAGGTGGCATTGTCCCCGAACCTCCAATTTGATCTTGAAGGAGGGCTGAGAAGGGCCCCAGGGCTAGAGATGTAAAGGTCCTCTGTCCAGGTTCACCTGAACTTCAGGCCCCCCACCCCGCAACAACCCCCAATATCCCTGCCTGCCCCTCCTCCCCAGCCATATGGGGGTGGGCGCGATCTGTTTGGAAAAAGGTGGGGCTGAGCAATAGCACGGAAAGTGGGGCTCCTGCCCTGTGCATGGAGGACTAGGGTTTGATCCCCAGCACCTCACAGTGTCCCCCAAAGGGGGACAGGAGTGACCTCTGAGTGCAGAGCAAGGTGTAACCTGAGTATCGCTAAGTGTGGCACCCCCCAAAAGAAAGAGAAAAAGGGGAGCAGAGATTGGACCAGGGGTGGGAGGGATCTTGCTCTAGATGCAGTACCCCCAGTTTACTACCTGGCACCGCCTAGGGTGCCCCAAGTCCTGCCAGATTAACCTTGAGCAGAGCCAGGAGGAAAACTGAGGACTGGGGGCGGGGGTGCAGAGAAACTGGTCAATGCATGCAGAAGACCTGACCATAAGATTCCCTGAGCACTGAGCTGGGAATAGCACCTGAGCACCCAGTCTGGAAGCGATGGGGAAACAGAACCGTGGGTCAAGGAGCTCGCCTTGCATCCCACCGACTCTGCTTCCAACGCCCGCACCCCATAGGGTCCTCCAAGCATTGCCAGGAGTGATCCCTGAGCACAGTGCCAGGAGTCAGTCCTGAGCACTGTCTGGAGTGGCTGGCCCAAAGGGATTCACCAGGAGCATAATTAAAAAAGGGGTGATGTTCAACTTTTTTGCCATCCCCTCAGATCCCACACTACTGACCCCCTAAAGGATTGGGTGGAGTGAGACCCAACTGCAAAAATGCTCTATACCCAGGACCCCAGGGTTTGTGAGAACAAAGCTGAAGATCCCCCATACTGGGGCTGCAGCCCAGGAGGGCAGATGGGGGAAGTGGGGGGAGGCAGGGCCCCTGTGCACTCAGACCCCCTAAATCCAGCCCTCTCTACATTCACCCCATGGAAGGGGCGTGTCAGAGACTTTAGAAGTGCATACGGTTGGATTTGGAATCCTAGCTGGAAGGAATCAATCGGTGAGGGCATGTGATGGATTTTGACCAAGGTCTAGAACCCCTGAGCTGGGAAACGGAAGCAGGAGTGGCACCCCTGGTATTCTCTGTAGGGTATGCAGGGAGTTATTAGCTGCAGGTGCGCCCCCAAGGCGCCAACGCGCGGGGAGTCTGCTGAAGCATTGCAGACCGGTTCTGCAGGTTGCCCAGGAGTCCTGAGCAAGGATCCAATCAAGAGGGTGGCAGGAGACATTTGCGTGCGCTTTGCAAGTCAAAAGTTCCAGGAGTAAAAAAATCAAATACACAAGAGAAAGGGGCTGGAGCGATAGCACAGCGAGTAGGGAGTTTGCGTTGCCCGCGGCGACCCGGGTTCGATTCCCAGCATCCTATTTGGTCCCCTGAGCATCGCCAGGAGTGATTCCTGAGTGCAGAGCCAGGAGTAACCCTGAGCATCGCTGGGTGTGACTCAAAAAGCAAAAACAAAATAAACAAACAAAAAAACCTCCAGGGGTCCCTTCCTTGTCAGCTTCCAGCTCTGTAGGGCACATGGGAAGAATTTCGGTTTCCTCCTCCCTGGGGACTGCACCAGAAGCGAGCGAGCAGGGGGCGCCGGTGAGCGGGAGGGGAGCCCATTTCCCTAGAAGAGTTGGCTCCTAGATCCTTGCAGACTTTGCCCGGGTTCGAGCCCCGGCACTGCTCTGCAAGCACCGCCTGATGTGGCCCCCAGATAACAGGGAGCTGAGCTGAAGCAAGAGAAGGGAGGAGCCAGGGCGCGGGGATGGCTGCAGCGGGGGCCGGGCTGACCCCTCCCTTTGGGCCCCCAGCCTACTTCTCCCTGCAGGTGATCTCCGCCCGCAGGAGGTTCGGCGTGCAGCCCCCGCTGACCAGCGGCCCGCCCGAGTTCCAGCGCATCTTCAGGGCGCAGTAAGGCCGGCGGGTGCGCGGGGAGGGGTGCGGCGGGCCGGGCGCGCCCTCACCCCGGGGTTCCCCGCAGGGTCAACTGCAGCGAGTACTTCCCTCTGTTCCTCGCCGTCCTCTGGGTCGCCGGTGTCTTCTTCCACCAAGGTCTGGACCCGGCGGGCGCGGGGGACCCCCGGGGAGCAGGGAACCCCAACGGTCTCACCGCCTCGCGGTCGCTCCAGGTGCGGCAGCGCTGTGCGGCCTAGGCTACCTGTTCTCGCGCCTGCGCTACTTCCAGGGCTACGCTCGCTCGGAGCTGCAGAGGTGAGGGCCGGGGCCAGAGACCCCTTCCAGGCTGGCTGGGCGGGGCCCTAAAGGGACTGGGCGGGGCCTAAGGAGTCGTGGGCGGGGTCTACGGTCTGGGCGGGGCCTATGGGGCCGTGGGCGGGGCCGGAGGGGTTGGGGGGGCTGGGCGGGGCCTGACGGGCCGTGGGAGGGGGCGGAGGGGGCGTGGGCGGGGCCCAAAGGGATTGTGGGCGGGGCCGGAGGGGCTGAACGGGGCCTGAGGGGCCGTGCTCAGTAGGACTGTGGGCGGGGCCTATGGGGCTGGGCGGGGTTGGAGTGGGGCTGGGCGAGGCCTGATGGGGCTGTGGGCGGGTCCCGAAGGGGCTGCGGGCAGGGCAGGCCCCTCAGCTCCACTGAACCCGTCCGCAGGCTGCCCCCGCTGTACGAGAGTGCGCATGCGCTCTGGCTACTCGTGGCGCTGGCCGCGCTGGGCCTGCTCGTCCACTTCCTGCCCATGGCCTGGCGCTCCGCACTTCTCGGACGACTCCACATGTTGCTGCCTCGCTCCTGAGTCGAGGACGCCGGGTCAGCAGAGCTTGGAGAAGAGGGGAGCCGCCCGAGGACTGCAGAGGCGGTGGGGAGGGGGCGGCTTGCCTCCATCCAGTGTTTGATTAAAGAGCCCTTGAGGGGATCCCCAATACATTGTTTAGTGCCAGTGTCATCTCAGGCCGAAGCTGAGGAGGCCTCTGGTTGAGGTGGGGGTGCGCGGCAAGGCCTCGTAATGAGAAGCACCTTCTCTCAAATAGGGGGCGTGGCCAGCGCCCCCCTCCCCTCCATTGCTCCTCACGGAGGTTGGCCTGTGCTGACCTCTCAGCCGCACAGCTTCACTGAATCCAGGGCCCACGTGAGGGCAGCGGTCAGTGGTGGGGGGAAGCACCCAGACGGCAAGGGGCCCTGTACATCACAGCAGGACTTCCGCCTTGCATGCAAGCGACCTGGGTTTGATTTCCGGCACTGCCAGATTCTAGGGCATGGAGCATGGAGCTGGGCGTGGTCCCCAAGAGCAGAGCTTGAGTGTAACCCCCCCAAAAATAATCGGGGCACTAGGGTCCGGGGAGGGCGAGGAGCTGGGAGGGTGGCTTCGCCGGGGGTGGGAGCTGACATGAGCTTGGGGCACGCCACGCAGGGAAGGGAGAGGTTTCTCCCTGCAGTTCCAGCATCCCAGGAAATCGGGCAGAGGTGGTGGGGAGCTAGGCCCCGGAAGTGGCGGTCACCTCTGCGGGGGACATTCCGCCGTGCAACTTCCTCCCCCGCCAGAGCAATAAGCCAGACCATGAGCCATACACTTCATTAACCCTTTATTACAAGTCACGCTCTTATAGAAGTATATGTGGACTTACGTGAAAAAATCAAATGTATCCAAGAATAAAAAACACAGCACAGAAAGTAGTATATGCATTCCAGTGTTCGCGCCAGGGACAGCCCGGGAAAAAAAAGCTCATCCGGAGAAAAACCCGCCCTGCTCCAGCTGGCCGGCAGGGGCGAACGTTCCGGTTCGGTTCGGTTCCGGCAGCACACGCCGGCCTCAGGCACAGTGTGGGGACCGTGGCCCAGGGGGTCGGGCCAGCACCAGCTCCTTGGGGCCTCCGGGCCAGCGGCAACCCCAGGCCGGCCGTGGGGTGGGGGGCACCAGGCTAAACCCCAGTTGGCTGCGCCCCGCCCTCCAGGAGCGACTGGGACCAGCCCCCCAGTGGTGGGTGGGTGGGTAACAGCCCACGCCCTCAGGGGGTCCCCGGCTTCTTGGCTTCTTAATTGGCCTTTTTCAGGAAGATCTGGAAGAGAGTGCTCCAAGTCAGGCAAGGTGCAGGGGTTCTGGTGACCCAGAACAAGACCCGACACCGACCCCCTCACCTCGCTCAGGATCACCCACACCGGGGAGTCAGTCTGGATGGACAGGCGCAGAGCCTCCAGGGGCCCAAAGGCGGGGTCCACCTCGCCCTCGGCCACGCCCTTGTAGAAGGAGCCTGGGGAAGGAGGACAGCCTGGTTAGCCCCTCCCCTGTCCCTTCCCCCCTCCCCCCACCCCTCCCACCCCATCCCCCGCCCTCGCCCACCAGCCTCACCGATCTGGAGGTAGCCGTCCGGGCTCCGGGGGTACCGCAGGGCGGCCCGGCCCTCCTGCAGGGCCTCCTTCTCCGACTGGGGGCTCTGGGGACAAGGGACCGCTGAGGGGGGGCGCCGTGGGCGGAGCAATGGGGAGAGGGGGCAGGCAGAGCCACGAGAGGGTGGGCTTGAGGGGCGATGGGAGGGCTGGGGAGGCCTGAAGTGGGACCTGGGGGGGTGGGGCTGCGGGTGGGGCCAGGAGGGCCCCTCCAAGGAGATACGAGAAGCAGGGGCGGATAGCAGGGCGGCGTGAGGCTGGGGTGGACTCCGGCCGGGGAGGGGTGGCCTCGGGTCAGGGGGGAGCCAGGAGAGGGCCACTCACGTCAAAAGGCAGCACCTCTACCGAGGTGTTGAAGAGCTTGTCCTCCGGGTGCTCTATGTTCCCGCTGCGGAAGAAGAACCTGCGGCGGGCGGGCGAGGTGCTGCTGAGGGTGGGGTGCGAGGGGCACCGCCACCCCCACTCGGGCATCTGATGGGGACCACCTGCCCCTCCCTTTGTTTAAACTGAATCCCCGTGAGATACACAATAGCAAAGTTGTTGGCAATTGGGCTCAGTCACAGAATGATCCAGTACCCGCCTTCACTGCACATTTCCCACTTTCCCTCCTACTCTCCCCACCGACCCCCAAACCCCGCAGGCACTTCTCTTCCCTCTCCCTTCCTCACTCTCCTCATTCTTTCCTCTGGCGGCTGAGCAGCTGCACCTCAGCCTGGCAACTGCCATGACAGAGCGGGAGAGGGCTGTGGGGGCTCTGGGCTTTGCTTTGGTTTGGAGCCACGGCCCCAGTGCTTTGGCTCTCCTTTTTTTTTTCTTCTCTTTTTGGCTTTTTGGGTCACCCTGAGGGTCTCTCCTAATGCCTCTTCTAACTGTCCCATCTCTGACCCTGTGGGTTGTTTTCTACTAAAAAAAAAAAAAAATTAAGCCATACCCAGCGGTGCTCAGGGCTCACTACTGACAGGCTATTGTGACCTTATGTGGTACCCGAAATCAAAACTGAGTTGGCCACATGCAAAGCAAGTGTCCTACCCGCTGCACTATCACTGTGGCCCTGTTTGACTCTTTTTAGATTGAGCCTGAGCGTGAGCCCTGGTGATGCCAAGGGGACTCCATCGGGCACATACAAGGATCCACTGCCCATTAGCACTTTTTGGGTCATCCCCAGCGGAGCTCAGGGCTGACTCCTGGCTCTGCACTCAGGAATCACTCCTGGCGGTGCTTGGGGGACCACAGGGGATGCTGGGAATCGAACCCGGATCGGCTGCATGCAAGGCAAGCCCTACCCACTGTGCTATCACTCCAGCCCATGTGTCTTAACAGGGCCGAGGGAGCGATGCAGCGGAACATCTGTTGGCCTAGAAGCCACCGGTGAGGCCAGGACCTCACCAAGGACCTCCCTGCCCCTCCACGGGGGCGACGGTACTAACCGCTCCAGGCGCAGGGGCTGGAAGAAGCGGAAGCGAATGAAGTCCCCGGCAGCGGGGGTGAAGGCCCAGAAGAAATCCTCCCGCAGGTAGGCCTTCTCCAGGGTGAAGTGCTGGTACGTCTTGAGGCTGGTGCTCACCTCGGCAGGCGGGTTGACATGCTCCTTTCGCAGGGCCTGCTTGCCAAAGTCCTTGTCCTGACAGTGGGCAAGGCAGGACAGAGGGGCAGGGACAATCAAGGCTCCAGGACCTGCCCCAAACCCAGTTCTGCCTCTGGCCCACCGGCACCTCCCCCAAACCTGAGTTAGCCCTGGTCCCGCCCCCTAGCCCAGAGCTGCTCTGGCCAGGCCCCACCAGGACCTCAGTCTCAGCCCCCGGCCCACCTCAGTACCTTTGCTCAGACCCGGCCCCAGCCCACCTTCAGTTTCTGAATCTTGCCGGCGAGGGAGGAGTGGGTGCCCACGTGCTGGAAGAGGGAGGGCTTGAAGCGGATCCGCAGGTTGGCCTTCTGCCGGTCACAGTGCTTCTGCAGAGGGAGGGGGCCCCCCACGGTCTCAACTCTCATCCCTGAAGCTGAGGCTGGAGCCCTCTGCCCAGCACCCCGCCTCAGGACAGCCTCAGCTCACCGCATCCTTCTCGGGGTTACAGACTTTCACCCACAAAATGTGGTCCAGGAGCCAGTCGATGGGCTTGTCCCGGTAGAACATGAGGATGAACTCAACGATCAGACTCAGGTCCAGGGACTTGAACATCTTCCCTGAGGGTGGGAGCATGGGAATGGGGTGCCAGCCCTACCTTTCCGTTGGGGGTGAGGTGTTTGGGGCAATCCCAGCAGTGCTCAGCACTACTCGGTATTCACTCGCGGGGAATGCTCAGGAGACCCTATGCAGGTTTGGGCATTCAGCAGAGCTCAGCCCTACACAGAGCCAGCACCTCAGCCTCCTGATTCACTCTGGCCTCCACATCTGTGGGTGGAGGACACAGCTGGCTGTGCTCAGGACTGACTTCTCACTATGAAATCAGGGATCACTCCTGGTGGGGCCCAGAGTGGTGTCACAGAAGCAATCTGGGTCTGCAATGTAAATACTATCTTACATTACTTACTATCTCTCCCACCCATCTCCAGCATTTTTGGGGGGGAGGGTAACTGGAGATGCTCAGTAGTTAAACCTGGCTCTCACGCAGGAATTAGTCTGGCAGGGTTGCGGATCATTTGTGACGCGGGGATCAAACCCAGCAAGACAAGTGCCGTACCGTGTTACTATCGCTCTGGCCCCACCATGCCAACATTTTTGTTGTGTGGGTTTGAGGCCGCATCCAGCAGTGCTCAGGGATTACTTCTGGCTCTACACTCGGGAGTTACTACTGGTGGTGCTTGAGGAACTGTATGGGAAGCAACGTTGGCCACATGCAAGGCAAACACCCTGTGTACTATGGCTCTGCCCCTCCCACAAAAACAAAACCATCTTTAAAGGAACCACCATCCCAGCAGCACAGTGAGGGCCGAAGAATCGAGTTCAGTGCTGAGGCTGGGTCTTTGGCTCCCCCTCACACTAGGCCTGTGCTCTGCAGCTCGGAGCTATCTGACACCCACTAACTTTCCTTCATCTGGGTGAGGGCTGGGTGCCAGGACCGTTCCACAGCAAACCCTGTGATCAGTTACAGGTGCTGGTCTCAGGGAAGAGTGAGCCTAAACCTCTGCAGGATGCTGGGGGGCGGGGGTCCTTGCGTGGAGCGGAGTATGAACTGGCAGGACAGGCAGGGCTTGCGTGAGAAGGGTGGGCGGGGCTCTGGGACTGGTCCAGCAAGACAGGTACAGACCAATGAAGCCCAGCTGAGAGAACTCCAGGATCATCCACTCCTCCGAGGGCTGCTGCAGTGCGAAGTTCTTCATGGTGCTCAGGTAGTTGGGCTTGGCCACGATGTCATCCTCCAACTGTGCAGTGGGGGGCAGAAAGGCGGTGGGGTGGAGGTGGCGTCAGCTGGTTGAGGGCTCAACTCCCACCAGGGCTTTGGGTGGAGGTGGGGGATGGGAACACTGCCCGTGGCTCAGGGCTGACCTGCACGTAGTAAATGCCTTTGGATTGCGCGTACATCATGAGGAAGCAATAATCCAGGTTCTGTTTGGTCCGCCACCTGTAGGGAAGAAGGGGGTGTGTGCAGTTAGACCCGTCCATTTCTAGGCCACATCCCGGCCTGGGAACTGCCTCCACCTCCAGGGAGGTTCCACTTCTAGTGCCACTCCCTGCAGCCCACCACCCAGAGGGACTGGCGCCAGTACCTGACTCTCTCCTTGGGGTCCCCAAAAGACTCTCGGAGACGGGAGAAGTCGGGGTAGAAGTGGGGGGAAGGGGAGATGACCTCCAGGAGCCCGGAATGGATCTCTGAGGGGAACCTGGGGGCGGGAAATCCAAAGATTATCCAACAGGAAGTGGGGGGGTTGGGGAGGGGAAGTCCGCCCCTCCTCCCCCTACCTTGGGGGGCTGCAGTACTCACAAGGCCTTGATGTTCTCGGTCACCATGGAGGTGTACTGAGGGTCTGTCTGTGGGGAGAACAAGGTCCCTTCCTAAGCCTGTTGCCACACTCAGATGGCCTGGGAGGGGCTGGGAGTGGGGCAGGTTTCAGAAGACACACACAAGGAAGCAGGCCCTGCTGTCTGGAGTTCTGAAGAGGCAGTGCCTCAATAAAAGTCCTCCCTTTGTTTGTTGGGGGGCTTGGGCTACCTGGTAGGGGTCTACAATATTTCTTGTTTTTTTTTTTCTTTTTAGTGGATGAGACAATTTAGGGGGTGGCTCCTGGCTCAGTACTGACGGATACACGCAGCACAGGGATCAAAGCAGGCCGCTTGCTTTCCAGCTCTTGAACTATTTCACTGTCCCTTATTTTACTTGGGAGGGGTGGGGAGAAGCCGCACGCCTCCCCAATTCGAGCGCACTGCAGGCCTGGAGTATTCACACCACATCTTCTGTTTCAGAGCTTCCCCCACCTTGCAAAACACGAAGGCATGAAAGGAAGCCCACGCCATGACTTCCCACTCCACCCCCCCCAATGATGCCTGGCTTGGCTTTCATTGCTCCCGAGGATTGGGTCCAGGGAAGGGAAAGGGGGCATGTCCCGTCGGTGACCCATCCCCCACCGTCTCGCTCCCCACACTGAACCACTCGCCTCGGCGATCAGCACCACGATGACCGAGTCCTCCTTCTCCTGCGGGCTGAGCTCGGAAATGAGCGAGTGCAGCGTGTCGGTCAGGTACGAGTGCACCTCGCGCCTCACGCTGGGGATGCCCATCACCACCGACACTGCGGGGAAGCACAGAGGGGTCAGGTCCTTCAGGGACGAGGCCCCGCCCACTGGGGGGAAACAGATCTCTCATTGGTCTGCTCAACATAAACCCCGCCCTCAAACATGCCCCTCCCACCGCAGACCACACCCCACGAACCACAGGGGTCTGCAAACCCCAACCTAGAACAGGCCAACGCGGGCCTGCCCCTAGAAACCCCGCCTCCAATTATGCCACGCCCACCAGAACCCCACCCCCGATCGTGCCCCGCCCATCGCGGGTTCCGCCCACCTCCGGTGCGACCCTGGCCCACACGAACTGCAGGCTGCAGGCTGCTCTCCTTGGCCAGCAGGTGCGGCAGGTGGTGGAAGACCGTAGGCAGGTGCAACACGTGCTTGTGCGAGACATTCCACGGCTTCAGTCGCGGGTCCTCTGGGGGGTGCGGAGGGGACAGGTGAGACTGTGTGCAGGCTCACACCCCGGGAACCTCGCGCGAGCACAGGCTCAGGCAACTCACCGGTTAAGCGGCCCCAGGTGCGGTTGTCGCTGTCCCGCAGCGCCTGCCGCTCAGACACGGCCCGCTTGATCTCGTCCAGCACCAGGTTGAGCTCCTTGGAGCGCTTGAGGCTCTCCTGCTCCGCCGCATGCAGACGGTCCCGCAGAGCCAGGAACTCGCGCTGGTACACGTCCACCACGTCGCCTGCGGGCGCAGCATGCGGTCACCGGGGGCCCAGGCTACCTCTCCCTGCCCAGCTGTGCTGGCCACCTGCCAGCCAACGGCCACTACATAAGGGCCACTCAGAAGCGGCACCAACAGGTCTGCGGGCTGTGCACGTGAGCGGAAGGAGGCAGGGCTGTCCCTTACTCCTCTGTCTACCCCTGTCTCCTGAGGCATGATCTGGAGGGGAAGCAGGAGCAGGGAGAGGTACTCTCAGCCAGCACCCACTCATCTGCACCTCCGTGTTGCAAATGCAGCCTTAGCTTCTCAATCCTCCACCCAATGGGTCCCCAAAGCCTCCTCTTGCTGCTTACTGACCTCTACAGGTCAGCACCCCAGAGGCCATGTGGACCCAACCCTTCCTCAAGTGGGTTTTGTATTTATCTTTGTTTTGTTTGGGGACCATACCCAGCTGTGTTCAGGGGTTACTCCTGGCCCTGTGTTCACTCGTGGTGGTGCTGGGAGGTCACATGAGATGCCAGGGATCGAACCCTGTGGGCCACAGGCAAGGCAAACTGTACTATCACTCTGGCCCCTGAGTGCCTAATCGGTAGGGGACACACCTGATTTTGCTTGGGGACTCTTGTTCAGGAATAATCCATGGTGGTACTCAGGGGTATATCAGAGCACACCCTGGTGGTGTTCAGGGGCTATTCCTGGCTCTACGCTCAGGAGCACATATGACAGTATCCAGGGGACCCTGTGGGCCCGCCTTAAACCCGGACTACCTCAGTGACCCTTCTCGAGTGGTTTGGAAGCCCCCTACCTGACCCCCACTCAGCCCGTCTCTGTACTCTGGGTGTCTCCTCTATGGAGTGTCCCTCTGGCCCCTCGCAGCCCTCTGGAAAGAGACAACTTCCAGAGCCCTTCCCGGAATCCTCCCCCAGAGGTACAGAGCCCAGAACATCACTGAGTGGCACTAGTGCTCCTTCAGCACGGGATCAGCCCCCGACAGACCCCCCCCCACATGGTCCCTTCTCCACACAGTGCCCCCATTAAGCAAGTCAAGTGAGAAAAGAACCCAGGGCTGGGGATGGAGCCACAAGACAGCAGAGAGGGAGCCTGCCTTTCCCGCAGCTGTTGAGGGTTTGATCCCCAGCATACCACAGAGTCCCCGAGCACTGTGATTTCTGAGTGCAATGCTAGGAGTAACCACCGAGCAACACCAGATATGGCCTCCAAACCAAACCAATCCAAAAAAGAATTCAGGTCATTCTGGGTCAGAACTGAGGGGACGTGGGTCTCTGAGGCATGTCCCAGCTGTACTAAGTCTGGCTACACCCCACAAAGGCGATGGGAGGGCAGCCTGGATTGGAACCCCCAGCTGACACCAGCTGCCAGCCAGTGGGGGAAATCAGCTGTGGCAAGGGTCTGGTCCCACAGGGAGAAGAACTTCTGACAGGGAGAAAGAAAATCAACATAACCCAGACCCTGCTGCGCAGGGTGGCAGGGCTGGGTCTACACACTGCACTTTTTTCTGAGATTTATTTTGGGAGTGGGGGGCGATGACACCCTGCCAAACTCAGGGAGGACGCCATGGGAGGCTCAAGGTACCTTATGTGGTACAGGGTATTGAACCCTGGTCAGCAAAAATTTTGGCAAGCCCCCTATCCATGTCCTATCACACTGGCTCCCACATTTCCATGGTCTTATTTATTTAATTTATTTATTTTTTTTGGGGGGTCATATTCAGTGATGCTCAGAGGTCACTCCTGGCAGTGCTTAGGTGACCATATGGGATACTGGGAGCCGGGTGCGAGGCAAATGCCCTCCCCACTCCTATTTCTCCAACCCTGTTCCAGGGTTTTTAAAGCCCAGGATGCTGGCTTGAAACGCCAAGACACTGTGACACTAGCTTTCACCTAAAGAGACTCCAGGTTCCAGCTCCCTGTTCAGCATGATCCACCAAGCTCCAGGAGTGATCCCTGAGCAGAGTCAGTCCTGAGCATCAAGTGACTGGGAGCCTCTACCCCAAGAAAACACTCAAACCCAAATCCCCCAAGTCTTCCTCAGCTCCCAGCTCTGTGTCTATCCCCAACTTCTCCTGCCTGGGGATGGGGTCAGACAGGTACCAAAAACAGCTGAGAAGGTAAAGTTAGCACTTCAGGACCCTGGGCTAGGGCTGATACCCAGCGAAGGAGATCCTGAGACAGGTATGTGTGCGAGAACACACACACACACACACACACACACATACACACATACACACATACAGAGTCCAGCCAAGGCTTTTCCAGCTTCCAGATTACACACACACACACACACACACACACACACGCCAGCCAGCACATATACACACACACAGAGGCCAGCACACAGATACACACAAACAGAAGTCAGCACACACACACACACACACACACGCCAGCCAAGGCTCTACACACACACACACACACACACACACACACACACACGTCAGCCAAGGCTTTTCCAGCTTCCAGATCTCACACACACACACACACAGAAGCCAGCACATATACATACACACAAGAGGCCAGCACACAGATACACACAAACAGAAGTCAGCACACACACACACACAGGCCAGCCAAGGCTTTTCCAGCTTCCAGATCTCACACACACACACACAGAGGCCAGCCAATGCTTTTCCAACTTCCAGATCTCTCTCCATACACACACACACACACACACAGGTCAGCACACATATACACACAGAGGCCAGCCAAGGCTTTTCCAGCTTCCAGATCACACACACACACATACACACACACACACACACCAAGGCTTTTCCAGCTTCCAGATCTCACACACACACACACACACACACCCCAAGGCTTTTCCAGCTTCCAGATCACACACACACACACACACACACACACAAACACACACACACACACACACACACACCCAAGGCTTTTCCACCTCCCAACTCGGGGGAGGGGGATCACTGGGACTGGGGCTCAGGTTGCAGCTCTGAGTATCTGCCCTGGGAAAGCCAGGTTCCCTTGGAAACTGATCCCTCCCTCTCTCCCTTTCTCACACTCACACCGGGGTCCCTTTTCCCGCCAGGGGAGTGTTGCCAGCAGGCAGGGGTCTCTGGGAGCTCAGAGCCACGTAGATGCAGATACACACAATCCGGGGTCCCTGGCCAGACCCCTGTGTCCGTCCGACAAACAGAGTGGCCCCGTGCCTGAAGGGGGTTGGGAGGAGCCCTCAGCCTGTCACCTGTGGACTGGATCAACCTCAGGGTACAGGGTGGCCCTAAGCCCCGGCCCAGCTGCCTCCTCCTGTGGAGGGGCCCCTTTCCTCTGAGAAGGGAAGGACATTCCAGGGTGAGCAGAGCTGGCCCCCCGCATGTCTGTCCTGCACCCAGAGCTGAGGCCTTGGGCAGTTCTGCTCTCAGGGAGGGGTGGGTACAGCAATGAGGGGCTGTTAAGGCCTTTCAAGCGCTGTTCCTGGGACTAGGGGCTGCAGAGGACAGCCGTCTTGGGAGGGCTGGGGCGGGGCAGGAGGTGGCTGGCCCAGGGCAGAAGGCTGGAGTGCCAGGAAACCCCTGGGTTCGAGCCCCATATGGCAAGTCTCTTCCAAGTTGCATTCCAGCCCCCCCCCCAAAAAAAAAAGCAAAGCCGATGGACTGGAGCGACAGTACAACAGGGAGGGTGTTTGCCTTGCACACAGCCGGATTCAGTTGAATTCCCAGCAACCCACAGGAATGATACCTGAGCACAGAGCCAGGAGTAACCCCTGAGCCCCTCCAGGTGTGACCCAAAATTCAGAGAGGGGGGGAGGCAAAGCCCAGAGAGGCTTGGATAAGAGAAACCAGAGAAACTGCCCAGTGGGGAGGACCCTAGCCTTGCACAGGCTCTCCAGTGTTCAGACCCTGCCATCCCAGAAGGCCCCCAACCCCGTCAGGAGTCATCCCTGAGCACAGTAACAGGAGCAAGCTCTGGTGGGTGTGGCCCCCAAACAACAGAAAGGCAGTAAATGGGGCCTGAGAGGTAGCACAGCGGGTAAGGCCTCTGTTTCACACATGGTCAACCAGGGGTTGAATCCCCAGCACCCTGTATGGTCCCCTGAGCACCATGGGCTTATTCTGAGCAGCCAAAGAAAGGAAGTCAGTGAGGTTTGGGTCCCTGAGACCAGCCCAGAGACATTTCTCCTGGACCAAGTGTGAGTGGCTTTCGGGGAGAGCGAGACCCATTCAGAACCCCGAGACACGGCTACCTCTGGGGACAGGTTCCAGCTTTCTGGGCACCCCTTAAGTGTTACAAGAGCAGAACCATCGTGGAAGAAGGGTGGACCAATCCCCACCCCCACCCGATCTGCATGCTGGGTTCTTAGGCCACTCAGGCTTGGCGGGGTGACTCCCCTTCACTCCGGGGATCCTGGGAGCGGCCCTGCTCCAGAAGTGGAGGCACTCTTGTTTGTTTTAGAGCTATACTTGGCACACTCAGGGCTGGTTTGTGGCTCTGTGCTCAGGAATCACTCCTGGCAGGGCTTGGGGTACCCCATGGAATGCTGGGGATCAAACCCAGTCTGCCAGGTGCAAAGCCAGAGCCCTCCCTGCTGGACTATCACTCTGGCCCCAGACTCTGGAGCTGGTGTCCCTACGACACCAAGGCTTGCAGATGGCGGCACAGACAGAAGACACCACGGTGACACACAGACAAACGTACCCCAGCATCCCGTTAGGGTGCCCCACTTGTCCCTGTGACAGCTAGCTTTGATGGACACTGTCCCCAAATGTGTCCCAAATGCCAGGGGGCTGGGACCTGCCCAGACATGGGAACACCCCAAATCCATTCTCCAGCCCTGCACACATCCCAAGCATGCATCTCAAGGAGCAGCCAGGTGGTTCCCCGAGAACTAACCCCCAAGAAAAGCCACTGGGTAGATGGACGAAGACCTGTACCCCAGCTTCACAGTCCTGAACCCACAGGACTTGGGGTGGTCCTTCGGCGTCCCCTGAGGCCGCCCAGAAACAGGAGGGCTCAGGAAGCTGGGCAGGCACGAGGGGGCAGGACAGTGGGGGGGGGGGGGGTGCTACGAAGGAGGGGGAGCGGGAGGGGGCTGGGCGCCGGCGCCACCCTCCACCCCAGGTGCAGCTCAGGGCTCTGGCAGGAAGGGGCCGGAGGAAGGAAGGAGGCGGCTTCCAGCTTCCGGCCCCAGGCCCCAGGCCCGGTCTGTGCGCGGAGGGTGGACTGGTGGACGGGGAGGGTTGGGCTTCACTTGGGGGAGGAGGGTTGGTGGGTGGGAGGAGCGTGGTCCCAATCAGGCCACCCAAAGTGAATTCCCTAAGGTGGCGGGGACAGGAAGGGCTGGCAGGGCTGCCCAGGAAGACCCCCCCCCCCATCTCAGTGGCCACAGGAGGCGCTCCGGTGCCCCAAGCCCGAGAGGAGTGACCCTCAGAGGTGCCGGCCAGGGTGGGCTGGAGGCCTCAAGGGTGGCGGGGCTACAGCTATTCCCTGGGGCCCCCTCGCCCGACCTCTGCCCCCTGACTCCTGCCCAGGTGCCTGGTCTGTCGCCCCAGGGGTCCTCATCCCCCAGGGCGGCTGACCTTGTCTCTGTCCGTCCCTGGCACGGGGGTGGGCGTCCTTGCGCGCGTCTATAAGAGGAGCGACGGGTCCCAGTGGGACTGGGGGGGAGGGCGGAGCGGGTGGGGCCCCCCAGGACGTCGGGCACGGCCCACGCACAGGCCCGAGTGCTCAACTGACGACGTGGGGGCGCCCCTCGCCACCCGCCACGGCGCCCCCGGCAGGGCCCGCAGGTGCGAGGCGCGGGCGCAGGTGCGGGGTGCGGGGTGCGGGGCGCGGGCAGGTGCGGGGCGAGGGCGAGGGCGAGGGATGGGCGCAGGGCCGTGGCGGGGCTCACCCCGGGGGGCCGCCGAGCACGGCGTAGCGGAACGGGGCAGCGGCGCGCCCAGGTGCGGGGCGCGGGCGCAGGTGCGGGGCGGGCGCGGGGTGCGGGGCGCGGGCCCAGGCCCGGTCCCGGGCGCGGGGCTCACCTCGGGGGCCGCCGAGCGCGGCGTACCAGGACAGGGACAGCAGCGCGCCCAGCGACAGCAGCAGCAGCGTCAGGACGGTGCCGTGGCGGCGCCTCATGGCTCCGGGTGCGCGGCGGGCGCCGGCGGGGCCGAGGCCGCATGGCCCGGGGGTGCCGGGCGGCGGGGTCGCGCCGGGGGCCGGGGCGGCTGGGGGCCCGGCCCCGGGGGCGCGGGCGGCGGCCGGGCCCGGGGCGCGGGGGGCGCGGGCGGGCGGGGCGCGAGCGCGGCGCGGCGGGATCCGGCGGCCGCGGAGTCGGCGGCGCGGGGCGGGGCGCCCGGCTTAAAGGGGCCGCGGCCGCCGCCGGGGAGGCGGGCCGGGGCGGGGGGCGCCCGGAACCCCGCGAGTACCGCGGGAGATCGGGACACCCTGGTGGGCGCCGGCGTCACCTGGCGGGCCCCTGGCCTTAGGGTCATCCAATCTGGGGCCAGGGTGACCGCGGGGGCGGGGGGGTGCAGAGAAGCCCGGGGGCACACGGGGATGGGGTCCACCGCGAGGATGGAGGTCCACAGCCCCTTTTCGGGGACCCTCCGTAATGAGTTTCCCACGGACAGTCACACCAAGCGGTTCCGGTCCGCACCAGACCCCCGTTTCCTCGGGTACCCCCAGGGTCTGAGGCTGGAGGGGTGAGACTGGGCGACAAGGGAAGACCCCCGCCAGCTTGGCTCCAGTCCGCGCAGGGGATCGCCTTCCCCCCCGCCAGCGTCCCCCCCAACACCCGCAGTCACTTCCTCTCCCAGGCCCCCCTCCCGTCCGCGGGACAGAAGCCAGCAAAAGTGGGGGCGTTGGGAAATGTCAACACGCTTTCGGGTTGAAAGGGTCGCCGCGGCGTGGACCCCGCAGGGGCTGTCCGGCTGGGACTGCCCCGAGTGGCCGGGACCCGGAGGTCACACACGCAGATCCTCAGCCTAACGCAAGGATGCCCAGCTCTCCCTGCAGAGGGTTGGGGGTGGTGGGGACATCCTAGGTCTCTGATTGCAACCTTCCCTGTCCCCGCCCGCCACTGCTGCTCATCCTTCTCGAGATCTCAGCATCAGCTCTGTTTTAGAGCCACACCTGGTGGGGCTCAGGGCTCCCAGCTCTGTGCTCCAGGATCACTCCAGGCGGGAACCCGATGGGTTGCCGGGAGTCTACACAGAACCCAGGATAACGGTGCTCAGGGCTCCTGCCCTTGCCACTGTACTATCTCTAGATTGCAATCTTTTTGCCCTCTTCCTTTCAGCCCCAGGCCTCTTCTGGACTACGTGGGGAGCAAGCCCCAGCTTGTCTCCGTGAATCCAGGCATTCATGTCTGCAACTTGAGTTCAGCCAGACCCTGACAGGCATGGAGGGGCTGTGGGGAGTGCGGACTCATCCCCCATCCTGGATCCTTGTCTGCTCCGATGCTGTTACACGTTGGCCTCCCTTTGCGGCATGTTCAGTTTCACCGTATCTCCCAACCTCTTGGCTCTCTTTTCACCCTTGAACTTAATGAACCCGATCAGAGTCATTTCTTCCAGAGGAAACGCCTAGCACTGGTCTGTTCGCCTTGGGCTCCTTCATTCAGGATCTGGGATCCAGTGTTACTGCTGGGAGTGGCCAGGAGGGGCCAGGGCACTCATTAACTTAATTGGCCACTTTAAATCTTTCTGGCAGAAAAGGTCTCCAGGCAAAATAGGTAACGGCTGTGACAATGCAGGATATCAGAGGAAATCCTTAGTTAGGTGGTCGCCCTCTCTCTCTCTGTCCCCTCTGCCTGGACAGTCTGGAGCTGGAGGGCCTCACCCATACTCTGGCCATGGCCAGAACTTAAGGAAAGCCCAGGGGACAGGGAGTCTCTGGAATGTCACAGGTTACAGAGTAGTAAGTCCCAGCGAAGCGGTACAGGTGACAGGGATACAGCTTCAGTTCCTGACCAGGAGCATTCATACTGGACAGGAGCAGGTTGTCCTGCATTAGGACACTGTCCTAGTACAGTATACACTGTCCTGTGCAGTATACAGTGTCCTCATGCAGTATATAGTGTCCTCGTGCAGTATGTAATATCCATCTCCAAAGCAGGACGACCTGCACTGGGACAATGTGTATTGTACTAGGACACTGTATACTGCATGAGGACGCTGTATATTGCACGAGGACACTGTATTCTGCATGAGGACACTGTATACTGCACTAGGCATTGAGGGAGAGCCATGTCTCGAAGTAGCAAGAGAGCCTGAGCAATGGTCAGGGGCTGGATAATTCAGTTTACTTAAATTATCCAATGAACGCCAACTTTTTTTTGGGGGGGGAGGGAGTGTGGAGTCACATCCAGAAATACTCAGGGTTTACTCCTGGATCTGTGCTCAGAAATCACTTCTGGCAGACTAAGGGGAGGAGAAACATATGGGGTACAGGGGATTGAACCCAGGTTGGCCATAGTCAAGGCCTTCCTCCTTGGTCTATCTCTTAGTCTCACTCTTTTTTTTTTTTTGGCTTTTTGGGTCACACCCGGCAATGCACAGGGGTTACTCCTGGCTCTGCATTCAGGAATTACTCCTGGCAGTGCTCAGGGGACCATATGGGATGCTGGGAATCGAACCCGGGTTGGCTGCGTGCAAGGCAAACACCCTACCCGCTGTGCTATCAGTCCAGCTCCTAGTCTCACTCTTTTTTTGTTGTCATTTTGTTTTGTTTTGGGGCCACACTCAGCGATGCTCAGGGGTTACTCTTGTCTCTGCACTCAGGAATTACTCCTGGAATTACTGCTCAGGATACCATATTGGATGCTGTGGATCAAACCATGGTTGATTGTGTGCAAAGCAAGTTCCCTACCCGCGGTACCATCACTCTGGCCCAGAAATGTTTTCTTTATTTTGGGGTCACACCAACAATGCTTAGGGGTTATTCTTGACTCTGAGCTCAGGGATCATTCCTGACAGTGCTCAGAGCACCATACAGAATGCCGGGAACTGAACCTGGTTGGGCTGAGTGCAAGGCAAGTGCGCTCAGCCTACCTGCTGTATTATCTCTTACCCTGCACTTACATTTCTACTTTGCCTGCGAACCCCAGTGTGTAGTCTTCCGGTCTTTGTCCTTTTTTTCACAGAGATGGGATTTGGGCTATGGGAGAAGCAGAGTTGGGGTTAGTCCCAATTCTGTGCTCAGGAGCGCCCCCTGGTGGTGCTCATGGGCTATTCCTAGTTCTGTGCTCGGAGCCCCCCTCCCCCCATCCCATGGGTGCTTGGAGGAACATCTGTGGCTGTGTGGAATGAGAGGTATGCCCTTTCCCTCTGTCCTATCTCTAGGTTTGGTTTGGTTTTGGATTGGGGGCCACACCCAGCTGTGCTCAGGGCTTGTTCTGGTTCTTCACTCAAGGGTCACTTTGGGGGACCCTGTGGGAGTTGGGGGTTGAAGCCCGGTGTGCTGTGTCCAAGGCAGGTGTCTCCCCACTGTGCTCTCTCCCGAGCTCTGTCTTCTCTCTGACCCATGCTCTTTTGTTCTAGAAGGAAATACAGGGAGTGTGGGAGGCCCTGCCAGCTCCCAGTCTACAGGGACTCCTTAGACTTTTTTGATTTGGGGTCACACCTGGCCGTCCAGCTCAGGGCCGAGAATTCAACTCAGGGCTCACCTGCACAGCCGTGTTCAGCCCTTTGAACAACTGGAGTCTTTAATTTCTTTTATTTTGAGCCACACTTGGTGGTATTGAAGGCTGACTCCTGCCTCTGTGCTCCTGACAGGGCTTAAGGAACCCTGTGCAGTGTCAGGAGCTGAACTGTAGGCAAGTGTCTCAACACCCCTCAACCCCACCCTCACACCTCGACTCTCTCCAGTCCCAAAATAGGTCTAAGGCCTAATCTTTCTTTCTTTCTTTCTTTCTTTCTTTCTTTCTTTCTTTCTCTCTTTCTTTCTTACTTTGTCTTTCTTTGTTTTTGTCTTTCTTTGTTTCTTTCTTTGTTTTTGTCTTTCTTTCTTTACCACACCCAGTGAAAACTCAGGGTTACTCCTAGTGGTGCTTGGGGGACCATCTGGGGTCCTGGGGATTGATCCAGTAGGCAAGCATTCTACCAGCTATATTATATCTCCAGCCTCAAGGTCTAATCAGGTCTAATCATTTTGGATCAACTTTATTTTATTTCCTTTTTGGGTTTTTTTTTTACTTTTTTTCAGGGGGGATCACACCAGAAAATGCCAGGGGTTACTCCTGACTCTGCACTCAGGAATTATTCCTGGTGAAGCTCAGGTATCCCATATGGGATTCTAGGGATGAGACCTCAGTTGGTTGCATGCAAGGCAAGTGCCCTACCTGCTATACTGTTGCTCCAGCCCTTAGACCAGTTTTTAAATATACATCTGGCTATTACAACTAATTATTCCTATGCTGTCCCTGGCACTCCAACATCATCCATTCTTAAACTGTTTTGTAATCCCCAGCTCACCACCACCCCTGTCTGGAAACCCCCGAGTCTATCTTTGTCTCTCTGCTTTGTTTATGGAGTAGTTTAATTTCTTTGGTTTTTGTGGGTTGAACACTGCCCTGAAATCCAGATGGATTTTGTTTCTCTCGAACTGTTGAGTTGTGGAAGCAAATAAGTTCCCTGAAACTGAGAAGGTAACCCGAGTCCCCAGCAAAGGCCGGCCGGGCGAGTCCAGGAGATCGATGCAGAAATGAATAAAGGGATGAGGTCTGAGACATCGTGAGGTGGCAGTGTTGCTTGCCTGGAGCACAGCCGACCTGGATTCGATCCTCAGCAGCACACAGGGTCCCCTGAGGCCCAGTAGCAGCGATCCTCGAGTGAAGAGCCATAAGTAAGCCCTGAGCACTGCTGGGAGTGGGCCAAACTAACTCCCCTTGCAAAGTAATAAAATAGGAAAGAAATGAAGGGAAGGCCAGAGAGACTGTCCACTGGGTCAGGTGCTTCATTGCACTTGTGTGGCCTGAGTTCAATCTGCAGCATCCTATAATCACTTAATCACTTAACTTCCTGTTAGTCATCGATTTGCTCGAGCGGGCGCCAGTAACGTCTCCATTTGTCCCTGTCGCGTGCTAGTGTAGCCCAATGGCATCTCTTCGCTCCGGGAACATGAAGGGCCTCAAACCGATCGTTCATGATCTTGACGAAGAAGTCTGACCATCTGGTAGGTGGGCGGCCACGCGGTCTTTTGACATCCCAT